ATTAATTAAATATACATAGTAAAATACTAGGATGTTCAAATTATTTTTAAAGCAATCTTTGAAATCTTTGATTTGTTTTAAAGCACTATAATTTGTTTTAACTAACACAGCTGGTTAAATATAAACTATGGAACTATGAGGTTATTTTATTTACTCTTATTTTGTCAAAGGAAATAAGTAAGATTAGTAGAGATAATTAGACCACAGTTTAAACCACATTTTTAACCAAAATTAATTAAACCACAGTACAAATCTATAGGCTCTGTACACGCGTCTTAATAAAAAAGGATAAATGCAAATTATTTTACTGCTACACTTTTCAAGGAAAGATTAAAAAAATAACAATGTTGACATGTTTTAATTCTTCATGGTAGCTTTTTTTACATTTAATGTTTGTCTGCTTTAACTTTGTTTGGATTAGGCCCGGAAATATTGATGTCATAAAAAGAATATCAAGAATAATAAGGAATCACGATTTTAAATTACCACCACAATCTCAGCCGGATTTTATCATGGTTTTATACAAAGATAAACAGATGGATGACATAGATTGAACACAACGTCAACATTGACCTAGCATACTGCAATTAGACAAACCATCCTTTTATGAAATTGTGTTCAGTTGTGGTTTAACGTGAAAATATCAGTTTTATTTCAACTATGAATATATTGTAGTTTAAATTAACTAATATGGGAAATTACGATGTACAATCAAGGTGGGTATATAATTATCAAGGATAGAACTGATAACGGTATGGATAATAAACATTGGCAATTACGTCATTAGCTTTACTAGCGTGTTTACTTTTTATATTCCTGCTACATGTGACCAGTTTTTTCTTCTTCAAATGAATGTTATTTGAACCAAACAGCTGTTTTAAAACAAACTGTTATTGTTTTTACTTTTCTTTGTTTACACTTATTTATTTAGCAATCAATGCAGTGAAATTGATATAAAGGATAGGTATGACAATTAGTTTTGATGTTAGGACACCAAAGTTAAATTATGTGTACTGTGAATTTTATTGTATATTATAGTTTTATTTTAGGTCGTTTCTATTCAGACCTACTGGAAATTGTGTATAGTAGTTGTATTGTGATAACAATTATGGAAGAGGCAGGTATGCTATGAAAGGGGGTATCGTTGACTAGGTCTATACACTTCTCAATTGACTATTACAAAGCTATTACTCTCTCTACTGTAGGCTACTTATAATCAGTGTGCGTCTGTGCGAATCGGCTGCAAATCTCACTTCAACGCTTTTCACATCGTAAAAATTGCAGAATTGCTGTTTTATTGTAAAATTATCGGATTGAAAATACATTACGTATAGGCCTATGATGAAATAAAAACATATTTGGTCACACAACATTTGATTACAAGATGATTTTTCACATTAAAACTGCAAGAAACTTACAAGAAACTGTATATGTGTAAACTAGCTGATCTGAATTGTACACGGTTTTATTAACTGACTACTGAATTCCCGTACGTAGGACGGGCTAACACCTCGTAACGAATAAAAAATAAATAGGCCAAAAATAAATGCACCTAGAGTCTACAAACAGTTATAGTTTGCTTATTTTTTTTATGGATATGTGTTGGTAAATGTATACTGGTATGAAATATACGGCGGGAGTATTTTGTTATGTATTTAATGTGACAGCAAATCGCTTTCATGGTTTTTAATTCGGTTTAGTTTTTGTTAAGAATATAAGTTGAATCGGCGATAGTTCATAACTCGCATCCCGCTCCAAATTCTTGGGTCGCTAGCGGCACGGTAGAAAATTGGTGGGTCGCTTCCGGCACGGGTCGCTTCTGGCACGGTCGCTTCTGGCACGACACCGAACTGAAGCCTAATGAAGCGTAAAAGGGTTCGACCCCGGATTAGGGCCAGAGCTCGCCAGTGTTCCGTTTCCCGTTTGAATTATCATTGTATGCGAAGAATTCAGTTTTACTTCGCCGTATTTGAATATTCAGAGCGAATTGGCAATGTTAAAATTACTGCCATAGAATTGGATTAACGTAGCTTAAAATGGTAATACTAATGGGGAATTAAATGATGTGGTGTTCACTGTTCAGTTCGCCCTCGTGTGTGGCAACCGTGGCAGCACTGTGTCTCCCTCCGTCACGCTGGTCTCGGCGCAGTAGTTGTGTGGCTCTCCAAGGTCGCTGACAAGGTCGTCATGTGACCTCTGCGTGACCCCCGCCTCGCCTTACAACAGTATCACTATCACATGTTCACACATGTCTGCCCCCGCCCGCCCCGCCCTACCTTCTGCCTTGTCTTGTTTGTTTATGAACAACAGTATTTGGAAATTACTTCGTTGTTTATCTAAGTTTGGGGGGGGGGGATTTGAGAGATAAACCAAACCTGTGTTTTTTCGACCATTTGTATGTTAAAATATGGATGTAAATAACAGAGAAATGACTCACGTTTGTTATTTGACTCACAACTCGTGTTATGTCCACGGTCAAAGCAACATTTGCAACGCTTCCACTATTGATAATAATTAGTTTTGTACTGTGACAAAACACCAAGATGTGCATTTTATTCCGTTTTTAGTCTCGCCGGCCGAGTGTGAGCCGCGAGCCGCGGGTAAAAACTTCTACTGTTCATTAGTGATGGGAGAATCGAATACTTTAAAGAATCGAATACAGTGAATTCGTAGCCTCCCCTGTATTCGAATACTTTTACGAATACTTGTATTCTAACACCTTTGAGTATGCAAAGCATGGAAAATTTTTTTTTCATAATGCAACCGTTCTTTTGGCCACTGTTATTTCGTTTTACAGTAATTAATTCATTAATATAATTTATTCGATGTAATTTTAAATTATATGATTTTTAAATGTACATTTAATTTGACTTATAATTATTTCATGGTCAGTTATAGTCTTATTAATGTATTATTTTCTATTATATTAACTAATTAATATCTTTAATAATATGTCTTATTCATTTGTATGGATAATTTACATCAGATATGCATGTTATTTTGCCATGTAACTATATAAATCGGTTGTAGTTATAATAAATTCTACATACTCAATTGCCCTCTACCAGTAGTAACCTAATATTTTAAATATCCAATATATTCTAAATGTTAACGATTAATAATAATCTTATGTAAATTATAGGGCTAATGGTAAAATTATAACAAATAGATGAAAACAAATGCTGCAGTAAAAATATTAAATACTCTTACGAATGCTACGGATTCGTAAGATATTCAAAAGGGAATTCAGTAGTTGAAAAAGTGTTGAATACATTTTTGAATCCCCCGAATTCGCTTTCTAGATTCAAGAAATCCTGCAAAATCTGAGGTCAAGAGTATTCACAAAAAAGTATTCGTACGAATCTGAAGTATTCGAATCTACGAATACTCGGGCTGTATTCGAATACTATTCGATTCTGTATTCGATTCTCCCATCACTACTGTTCATACCAGCAATGAATACAAACTAGCGGCGCAGCGGCGGCGGCGCTGGCGGTGACCGCGATTGGTGGCCTTTTAAATTAGCGGTGTTGGAGTGGATGTAATAATATAATGACGGCACAGGCTGAATGGAAATGAGCTTCGTGGTTTTGTGAACTGAAACAGACCTCGTGCTTTGTCTTGCAGCTTGCAGTTGGTTCGATGTTGGGGGAAATGTACCATAGGTCGAGGTCTGACTTGGTAAACACTTTTACTGTGATTTGCACCAAAAAATCAGTCCTAATAATAATCAACGGAATGTGAAAGCTTTTTTAATGTATTGTAAACTTTTATGAATCGATGTTTTTCTTGGTTGTGGGAGACTCTTACCCACGAACAACGTATCAGTTCATGTAATTGTTTCCCTTTAGGAAACTTTACTTCATCTAGAGGGTTACGGCCACATACGTCTGTCAAGCTCAGCTGGTCTGGTGCGATACAGATGTCCGTCTCAGTGGTCTTGGTATCCTCTGGTAGAATGCTGAAGAAGAGTTCAATGATTCGGAACTGGACAACATTACAGCAAATAGTGTCCAGCCTCTAGCTCCCTCTAATCTTCTTCCCACCTAAAAGGAGGTTATGCAGTGCATCTTCCTTATTTGAATCCTGTACTGACATTCCTGACCATCGATTATCTACTTTTATGGAGGGTCTAAGCACCTGTGGCCTGTGAGGAGGTAGACAAGATGTAAGTTAATCTCTCCGAACTCCCAAGTCTTCCCCAAATTCTCCAATCAATCCAGGGCCGGCGAGACGTCACGGGCCCCTGGGCTGAGCGATCCGTGGACCTCTATTTTCATGACTTTAGTGTCCAGCCGCCTTGGTGCTGTTTTGTTACACAATTGACAATACCTTTCTAAAATGCTTGATAGTTTGATTAATTATGTGCTCACAGTTGCAACTTTATTCAAGTCAAAAACTACTTAGTGAACTGGAAAATCATCCTAAACTTTTTGCTTTAGCAGATTACATGTACAGAAACAAATTTACATTTGGCTGGGCCAGGCCTCCTTTGGAGACCCGGGCCCCGGGGCTCTGGCCCTTCCTGCCCCACTCTCTAGCAGGCCCTGCATCAATCCAACTGTCAAACATGCTGTCTCGTCAGTTTTCTACCTCCACGGTGTGTGTATTGGCTTAGGCACGGGGCAGAATACTATTCCCCAGAAAACTCAACGTTTGTTCAAAATGAAAGAGGTTAAAAGAAATCACTCTTGATTAATAGAATGGTAGGTTATGACTCTGTTTGGTAGGCTGAAGTAATTTGAAAAACACATCATGATCTACTACTCTATATAAATACCCCTACCTCACAACCATAAGGGAAGCATTGATTAGACGACAGGAAGAAAAACACAGCGTCCTCCTCTGTTTTTGTTTGGTTAGGTTCGCTAAATCACTTTCCTCTAGAGATACAGTACTCTAACTGCTCACCAACATTCGTAACTTTTACTATTTCTCAACCAGTCATTATGTTCATGTTATGTTATGAGATGGACAGTGTCAGCCAGTGGGTGTTACAGAGGATGGGCAGCAGCTAGCAGTAGGGGATGACACTGAGAGATGGACAGTGTCAGTCAGTGGGTGACGGGAGGAGGGAGTGATCTAACAGTCACAGGGAGTTGATGTGTGTCATGTTGTGTTACAGAGGATGGGCAGCAGCTAGCAGTAGGGGATGACACTGAGAGATGGACAGTGTCAGTCAGTGGGTGACGGGAGGAGGGAGTGATCTAACAGTCACAGGGAGTCCCACAGTAGTAACCTCCGGAACAGTTACTGTTACCTCCATCAACGTCCAGGATACCTCGGATATTAGTAAGTATTGTAATCGTTTTAGTGATGCTGATGCTACGATTTACGTACTTTCTTGACTTGTATGACTCGCCTGCGGCTCTTGCGTTAACATGTCTCCCATGTGCAGCAAAGTGCTACTTCGCACACTAGTTACACAAATAACTATTTCTCCTGAATAGAATAAACTGTAAATGTTTTGCAAAAATTCCTAAACATTCCTTTGCAAACAATATGAAGATTTCTTAAAATTCTTCTTGATCATAATATGCCATTAACAACAAGCTTTCTGTTTATAGGGCCAGAGTCCAAATATCCTGGATATCAGCAACCAACATGCAACGGTAAGTTTCTAAAAGTAGAAAAAGAACCAATTTACTTTAATACCTCAATATTTTAATAGTTGGGCATTGCTAATTATTGACCAAATTGATCTTTAGTTACAAATAAAAAAGATTACTTTAAATAAATTTACCCAACTACTAAATTTTAATTTGTTAACTTTCAAATACATACTGAGCCTTGGACAGGGCCGGTTCTAGGAATTTTTCAGAGTTAAGCGAACACCCGAATCAGCGCCACTTAGAATTCCCCCCCCCCCCCAAACCATGAACATAACTTAACCGTATTTGTGAATTTTTTCCCAATAATTTTGGGAAGAATTTTTTTTTTTTAAGTTTAGGTAGAAGAATACTAACTTGCAATAAAACGCTGTTTATTATTCGCAGAAATGTGACATTTATACACTTTTACTCATCATATAAACTATAGCAAAACCAAGGACACACTAAAAAAACAGTCCGTAATGTAATGTTCGTCAAGCATGACGTCACGATAGAAGACGGCAATGACGTAATGTTTGCCGTTTGTGATCAACTGCTTGTTTTAATCTTTCCTTGGAAAATAAATAAATAAATACCTACGTCATTCATTGCCGTCTTCTATCGTGACTCTTTTGGGCTGACTGGACTCGCCACCAGATGATTTCTACAATAGTCTACTCATTGATTTGCCTTTTTTCTTCCTCCTCCACATTCACCTTACGCTTTCTATGATAAGTGCCAGACGGTTTCTTTTTTTCTGCCATTGTTTTCATAGTTTCGGCTCGCAATATGTTTCATTCATTCATTCAGTTTATACTTTCTTTTTATTTAATGTGCTAATTATAAATTAAACTTAAAACACTCGTAATAATTCGCTTATCAACAATCATGAATCATCAAAACAATGCCAATACGATACCGATACGGTATAGGCCTACGCCCGATTACTAGAAAAATACCGGTATGGATCATAAACATAAACAAATGACGTTTTTGGCCAGAAAATAAACATTATTTAATATTGCTTAAATGGAACTGCCCAAACATGTGTTATGTTCAATGCTATTAGTATAGGATTCGGGCCAACAACGTCATTTGTTTATGTTTATGATCCATACCGGTATTTTTCTAGTAATCGTGGGCCTACGTATACAACTAAAAGAGTGCAATCCAACGTAGTGCTCTGCTCTAGGATCAGAGGCAGAAAGGAGTGAAAGAAAGGGGAAGTTTCTTGTTGTGACAAGTGGCGCTGCGCGCTTGCTTATCTCGAGCATGAGTGATTCGTGAAATGAATCCCAGCAAACGCTGGCGCTGACGCTGCCGACTGCCGAGCGTCAGCTCAGTTCAAATCGAAACTGCAAATGGCATTGAGTTGTATTGCTGTACAAATATACAACATTTTCAAGTGCTGTTGGTACAAACAGAATAAATGCCTTTATTGTGGTGCTTTGAATACTTGAACTCTGAGCAAAAATAAACAAAATTACGTTGTTCACGTAAAAAAAATGTTCCGTTGGCGCCATATGCGGCCGCGTAGTTCGCGTATGGGTTAAACCGGCCCTGGCCTTGGAAAACATTGTTTATACAGTATTATCATAAGAGACATGCCTTTGACAGAATTTTAACCCCTAATTTATGGGTGGTACCTCCTGGCTGGAGAGGCAGTGCTTTATACCGCTAAGCCATTGATCTAGTTCTTATTGAGACCCAACAGTCCACTTTCCTTCCAATAATCCTTCTAACTCTAAATCTCAAATGTAGTAGTTCTCAGCTTGATGTGCAGACTTCAGCACATGTTGGGTTTTTGTTGAGGTATTCTCACATAGTGAAGGTTTAGTTATATTAACACGTTCGCTGCGAGAATCCCTTTTGGCAATACGGTCAGAAATGCGACGCAGCCTCGGCGCGCCATTGATCAGCAAACGCAATAGCATTAAAATATTTCAGCCTTGACAGCGGCAAAACAGCAGTGGTGATGGTGCTGTGTTACCCCGAGAGTGGACATAGTTCACTGAAAAACTCACAGATAGCAGCACTGCCTGAATCCGTAGCCAGTGTCTTTGTAATATGGCTTGAAGGGAGAAAATCCCTGAAAACGGACAAAAAGTGTTGCCAGACGGGACTTAGCGGGAAATTTTACCAACCTAAACCCTACCTACACCAAATTAAAGTATAGGACCAGCACAACATGCTGATATAGTTTAGTTGATCCCCGATAAATGCGGAGGTCACAGTAGACAAACTTGTACAACACTGCACCGTGACTCCGATCGGAGTCGTCAGAAGCGAACGTGTTAATGATGGCTGTATTGTATATTGTATGTTTGTAGGACTCGGGTCAAGCGCAGGAGTGATCTCAGGCAAGTGCAGTGTAGTGGTGGGGGGCCCGGACACCACCCAAGATGACGAAGGGTCTGCGTCTGATGCCGAAGTCAGCAGTATTGACTTCTCAGGTGAGTCCAAACTCGTCTTTAGGGTTTAATATAGAGTTGAAATTGCTTGACAATGTAGGCTTACTATTTGAAGAAAAACTTATTACAAGTTCACGTCTAATGTAACTTATTGTGTTTAAAGGGGTTGGTGAGATTTCTACCATACCTAATGACTTGTCCACTCTGCAAGAACAATTATTTTTTTGTACAAATTAACTATTGTAATGACTATACTTTTTCAAACCAAAGAAAAATGTTTGGGGTCATTATTATTTTTGTGATAACATTTGGTGTAGAATACCTGTCAGAATAAGGCAATGAAAGGTTCTGGTGAATTATTACCAATCGCATGAAAGCTATACCGCACGTGGAAGGTATCTGGAATACAAATCAGTTGTTTTAGAAACCTTAAGTTTGGTTACAACAACTATTGGGGACTAGTCTAGTCGTTAGAGCTTTTGACTTCTATCTTGATATAAAATCCCGCAGATCCAAAGGTTCTAAACCTAATTTGAGATATAGGTCTCCACCTATTCAGAAAATAAATAAGGATAGTTCTCATGGGTTGTTCCAGAAAAATAGAGGTCTATTTATCCACCCTGTATTTTAAAAGCTGTGGGTTTAGCTGAACTTTTCTAAGAATCTAGAGACTTCTGGTCCCATTCTTATCACAGTAATAATATAGAATCGTCTGTATAGCAGAACAATCCTACTAAAAGCTATGCAATAATACAATTGACAGTCATGGTATTAATGGGCTTGTAGTAATATGAGTGGTGTATGTTTATATTGATGTATTTGTGTAATGTGTGTCCCAGCAGGTGTCAACATGCGCAACAAGAAGAAGAGAGAAGACGGAGACGGAGAGTGTGTGGAGAGGCCGATGTCATGGGAGGGAGAACTCTCGGACTCGGAGATGCCTACCATCAAAAGAGTGAGTACAAAGTAGAAATTACAACTTGAATGAGTTTACAACACTAAGCTTTCAATCATGAAAGCTGTATTGACAAATGTGCCCAAATGGCTTATTCAGGGGGCTAATTCAAGATTATCGAGTGTGTTGGGTTAGCAAGTTTAACTTTATTTATCTTGTCCTTGGTTCATGATTAAGTGGACATAAAATTGGCTCTTAGAAGAAAAATAGAAATTTAGTTATACAGTAGACCCTTCACCACCTATATGGGGTGCGTCTCCTTACCTACCAAAACGTAGTCTAGTAAAAAAAAAAAAACAGTGATAGGAAAAGTCCATCTGTTTTACCTTAAAATTAAACTAGTAAAATAGTATTCGGATTGTTTTAGTTTCTAACAAATATTATTTTCAATTGGAAAATGTGCAGTACTTTAGTATAGGAGAGGCCATAGATCGTATTTCTATGGTATAGTTAATAGATTAGATACACAGTTGTTAGTTATTAGTTATAATTGAAACAGCATAACTATGTTATTTGTAACAGGAAGAGGAGAGAGAAATGGAGGGGGTCCAGGTGACGACCAACACTGTCAAACAGACCTCAGCAGACGACAACAAACCTCGCCCTCTCAAGTTCACCAACGAAGCCATGGTACGTCACATGTCTGTGCTACTGGAAAAGGTGAAAACAAAATCAGACACCTTCTTGAATCTTGTCATACACCGTCTCAGTAACTGAGCATTAAATGTTTGATTAATGTTGTCTGTGAGGATATAAACATGTAAATAATATGTGTGAACCTCATGCATTAACTCTTGCTATTGTTGTAGTAATTTACTATTTATTTAATTTAATTTGGAAATTGTGTTGAAAAGTTTTCAAGAGAATCCATTGCTGGTGTTTATTCAATAAGTTTAACTTAGGTTTGTAGTTCTGTTTGTAACTTTAATTTTATTATTTTTAAATAACCTATTGTCTGAATTTTACAAAAAAATACAACCTGCACTTAATGCATATATAAATAATTCATGTTTTGTTAGACTTGAGTGTCCTGATCAATTGTTTCTAAAACTGTTTGACGGAGAATGAACTGAATGAGATAAGTTTCCTACGTCAATCCTTGATGTTTAGAAATTTAAGGAGATGGCTAGGATGTATTCCTTAATTCTTATTGAGGATTTTCCCACCAAAATTATCCAATGTTAAGTAGCATATTTTATAGAATTCCACAAAACCTAGTTAGTACTTTTGCTCTCGTCTCGGGGAACTAAATATTTTTTTTTTATTCCAAAATTTGTTTGGAAAAGGAAGTGTGTATTATTTGTTCTGACTTAATAAGGTTGTTTTCTCTCAAGGTTTTTTTAAATAATTTGATTAAATAATTTTTCTAGGAAAGACATGAGTACTTGAATTAATTTTTCAATATATTGAATTGAGTTTTTTTTATCTGCACTTGGCTTAAACCATGCACAGTAAAACTGTGCTTATGCATACAATATTCAATAATCAAAAATTAGTCTAGTAAAAGTTTTTTTTTATTTCAATCCAAGTAAGCCTTGCAGGTGTGATTAACAGAGATTATTATTTAGCACTGCTGGAAACGGAAATATGCGAGATTACTGTCTACGTACAAAATAATGAACATTGAATGTTTTTTTAATGAAAAGTCCCATCTGAAATCTTATTGCATACATCCTACATCTTATATTATTTTGTAAAAGTTGTTTACTGTGTGTTGTGTTTGACAGATGGACAAAGTGATGGAACATGTGAGGTGTAACAACCAGACAGAGCTTCCTCTCCTTGTGGACAGGCTACTTAGTGAGTATAACCTTCTACATATCACCAGCATTAGAATAAACATGGACATAGTTTATGAGGCACTGACAAAGTGTACTACTGTAAATCACGTACCTCTGTATAATACAACTTTAACCAAACTGACAGGATAGGATGATTATTGTAAACTATAACACCTTTTATGCCATATATTTTATCCCAGTGACAAATACTAAGGGAGAAAATAACATTTTAGACTGTAATGCACTCCGTGTGTGGCTTATTGAACTGTGTACTTTTGAAATAATAATTGGCTAGAGTTTGTCTATAAAGATGGGTGTCTACTTCAGTATTTAAAAGTCAATGCTAAAACAATTAAAACGATCTTGGAGCCAAAAATAAATACAGTAGAACCTACCTCAACCATAATACAGTACTTTTACCCACACCACGGTTTCAATAGCTAATTGATTTAGACAAGACAAGGCAAAATGAAGTTACGGAAAAAAGATGATACTGGGTCGGGATGAGGCTGTTGACCTCATAGAAAGAGATTTCAAAATAAACAAAAGCAAAAATAATGCAAACAATGTACTAATTTGGCTGTGTCTAAAACTACTTGTTATTCTCCCATCAGGTTGCTCTAATGGCTATTGAGTTAATGGTTGAAGAGTTCTGTATTGCTAATTGTTCACTACGCCTGTGCAGGTAGTAGCAGTGGCTACAGCCCCGTGTTGCCCCAAAGACACAGCGGGGGCCCCACCCCCAGTCCTGACTCTGCAGTGTACAGCTGTTACAGCCCCACCGCCAGCCCTGTCACCTCCCGACACACACTGCCCTCCCCCTCCCTCAGCCGCAACAACTCAGACGCCAGCCAGTACGGCGGCTCACAACATTCCAGCTGCTACAGCCAAAGGTAAGCATGCACTGACTTGACAGCAGGTCTAGAAATCAAGTTATGTAAACAAGATATAAATAAAATATTTGTATGTTTCTGATATTCCGAATTAAAGCTCAAATTAAATTATTTTCTATGACACCAACACATTACAGTGTTTATTTAAATCATATATGAATGGATTTTAATTGTAGTCACTACTCTCTTGTTAATCATTTAATGAAAAGCGTGCCTTCAAGATGGCCGCTTATTGCTGTGTTTTGTCGGTCAAACTGTCTCGGTTCGGTTGGACTTGTCAAATTAGAATCAATATGGCGTCGTTCTGTTGTTGTTAGTTAAAATGTCAACATTGTTATACAAATACATCAACTTGATAAGAGGAAAATAAGTTAGTATTTGGTATTAAAAACAATTGATAAGGTTTTAAAATTACTTTAAACACACATGCAATAATTAATTCTTGATAAAAGTCCATTAAATAATCCAAATAACATGCTTGTAAAGATCAGAATAAATTTTGAATGAATTTGTCAGCTATCCAACCATGGCCAACATAACAACACGATAAACAGTGAAAACAGTGGTACACTTTTTAAACATAGAATGATGACTCCAGATATAATCCATTCATCTCTATGATTAAAACACAAGATGAGGAAAGAACTGGAGTTGAAATTCAGCTGACAGGATTACTGACCAAAATCAGCTCCATTTATTAAAAACCCATGGATCAAGGACAGCTTGATTGAAATACCCCCGCCGCAGCAAACCTGCCGTCTAAGCGAATTTCCATTTGGCCGAATTGATTTTCAATTGATCTATTTAATTACATTAGGTTTAACGAGTACCTAGGTTTGCTGCTACAAGGAAACTAATAAAGTAGTGTGTTTTTAGTAAAATATTGATAGCTTACTATAAAATAAATAAATTTGCCAAGTTTGATCAAAATATATCCATAAACAAGCAAACTACAACATTTTACAATATTCTCCATAAGAATAACATGGGAATTTTAAATTTACAATTTTTTTAGTTTTCTCCGTAACCAATAACCGTACAAAAACACTTTGATATACTGAATTGTTTGTTTTTTTAAGCTCTTTAAGAAGGTTTAGAGAAAAATTGGGAAATTTTGTGTTTTGAGGGTAAAAAGTGAGAAAACCCAATTTTTACCCAATAAAACCCCCCATAAAACCCTGTTCCCATGGTCCGATCATGCTGGATCGCGAACTCATTCAAGTTTATCCCGCCTTACACCTTCAAACCAAATTTCATCAAAATCGGATAAAAATTACTCAAGTTATCGTGTTCACGGACACATATATATATATATAAATCTATATATATATCTATATATATATATATATATATATATACATATATAAAAATTTGAACGAATGGTGTTTTTGGCCTCTGGGGACATTAAAATGAAAAAGTAAATCGGTCCCGGGCCTAAGTCTTACCATGAGACCTACGGTAATAGCTACTTCCCTATAGGGAAATTCGCTAAAAGCATCCGCTTTTTTCAGGACTTGACTGTCGACCTACTGACAACTAGGTGAGCACTTACACCTCTCAGGTTAAACGTTAATACCTATCCTGTCTGGTTCATCTCTCAGTTTTGTACTTATTAGTTCACCGACGTTAGTTTTTTTTCTAAAATTTACTGCAACTAGTTTTAAATTTTTCAATGCTATTGATCGTCAAAGCTAACCGTAGTTTGTTTGTTACAGTTATTCGTCTGTGTCAGTGTCACCAACCCAGTTCTCGCCCACACACTCACCCATCCAGGGTCGCCACCTTCACAGGCCGAACACAGGGTTTCCGTCCCCCGTGCTCAACTCACGGACCACCCAGGATTACGCTGTCCAAAGTATGTCCGCCTCATCTACATAAGTGTTGGTTGTGTCTTTGGGTGTGTTGCTAGTCTAGTGGTTACTGTCTCAGACTTCGGTGCGGAAGGGTTCAATTCCCGGCACATCCCAAAAACTTTATTCTCATGATCACTTCTTGTAAAATGCCATTGGTGTGGAAAAAAGAAAGAAAAAGTGTTGGGTGACAGTCTGTGAACAATATCCAACTACAGTTTTATAACACTGTATTTTTAGATTCAGCAAATGAGTTAATACACCAACTTAAATTTTAGAAATATAAGTTACCAAACAGCAGGCCTCCAGGGTTAAGCCCCTTTCTCTTTTGAATCTCCTATGTAAGCTATCCCTAGGGCTTCTAGAAGATGCATAGATGTAAATAATACCCCCGCCGCAGCAAACCTGCTGACTAAGCGAATTTCCATTTGTCTGAATTGATTTTCAGTTAAATATATTTTAATAACATTAGGTTTAACGAGTACCTAGGTTTGCTGCTACAAGGAAACTAATAAAGTGTGTTTTTGAGTAAAATATTGATAGCTTAGTACAAAATAAATAAATTTGCCAAGTTTGATCAAAATATATCCATAAACAAGCAAACTACAACATTTGACAATATTCTCCATAAGAATAACATAGGAATTTTAAATTTACAATTTTTTTAAATTTTTTCCGTTACTAATAATCGAATAAAAATACTTTTATATACTAAATTATTTGTTTTTTTAAGCTCTTTAAAAAGGTCTAAAGAGAAATCGGGAAATTTTGTGTTTTGAGGGTCAAAAGTGAGAAAAACCAATTTTTACCCCATAAAACCCCCCGTAAAGCCCCGTTCCCATGGTCCGATCGTGCTGGTTCGCGAACTCATTCAAGTTTATCCCGCTTTACACCTTTAAACCAAATTTCATCAAAATCGGACAAAATTTACTCAAGTTATCGCGTTCACGGACGTATATATATATATATAAGTCTATATATATATATATATATATATATATATATACTAGTGATGGGCCGATTCCGATTCTCGATTCCAAAATACTCTCGATTCCGCCGGAATCGAATCGAGCATTCGATTCGAATCTCCGTGGGTTTGGGATCGATTCCGACTCTCTTTGATTCTTTGATAAAATTGGTTAAAATAAGCCATAAACGTCATATAAAGCAACAAAGAAACAAAATAAATTCAGATTGCTAATGATTTGCTTGCAACTCTGAGCAAACAACAAGTCCTGGTCGTATCGTCACTAACTCAGCGAGACTAGAGCGAGCGTATTGCAAAAATAATAGATGCGAACTCAATACAGAAGTAGCCTACAATGAGAAACAGTTAACAGATGGGAATTGGAGATTCGGGCAAACTGGACTGGAGCGAGTAAGCATTGCGTCACAGCTCACAAGACATACAAGGAAAGGGATGAGCATCGATTTAGATCAACCAGTGGTACCAAGGCTACTAACCACGAATACTAGAAAAGTAGAAAAATACCGGTATGGATCATAAACATAAACAAATGACATTTTTGGCCCGAAAATACACATTATTTCACATTGCTTAAATTGAACTGCCAAAACATATGTTCAACGCTATTCGTAGAGGATTCGGGCCAACAACGTCATTTGTTTATGTTTATGATCCATACCGGTATTTTTCTAGTATTGGTGCTACTAACTGAATCATTGCATCGCTACATCGATGTTATCAGTAACCGATAACATCGTTGTGAAAACATCGATGTTTTTGGGACTAAGACATAGATTTTTTTCTTCAATTTTTCGTCTGGTCTCTGTACTCTCCAGTAACGGAAAACATCGATATCTCAATTACACTTGGTCAAAAACATCGATGTGAAAAACAACGAAAATCTATAGAAAAACATCGGTGATGCGAAAACATCTACTATCGATGCTCATCCCTAAACAGAGCTGAGCTACCATTCATTAAGTATAACAAAACACTTCGTATTCGGTCCCGAAACGTCACTACTCAACGAGACTAGAGCGAGCGTCCTATAGCCTAAAAGCGACTTGGGCTTGGGCTTGGAAATATAATTTTGTACAGTGAATTGGAAGGTTTTAACTACCTATAAATGTTCAAGTGCGCGAAATTGTAAATAAACTTGTTTAGTGTTGCAATCAACGGGTAAATCTTCAAACACTGGGTATTTTAATGGCCGATAGGCAGAGTAGTTTTGCAGGTTCCGTTATTGTCTGCCAACAGTGGCAACACTGATAAAGTGAAAAATACTTAAATGCTCCAGTACCGACGGCATCAACAAATCGTATTGAGTACTGAGTTTCAATCTTAAATCTTTCAAGACTCTTTTTTGTAGGTTATGCTTGGATATACATTTTGATTTTGCTTATAATGTTCATATTTTTTATTTTTTTTTCAAATGGACAATCGACAATGGTTTCGGACGTGAACTTTAGGAGGGTGTACAAACAACGGTACCTAATGAATTGAGAGTGCAAAAATAAATATAGGAATTTGATTTTATTAAGAAACTAGACTTCTTTCCAATATTGATTTGATTTGTATACCTGTAAAGATTCATGTTAAAATTAGGTAAGTTAGGTGGACTGTAAAGATTTATTAATCTTTTCTCCATATTTTCCTTATTTATATCATACACAAGTGTTGATTCAGTTTTAGTGTAATATACTGATTGTGTTTTGTTTTGTAATACTAATAATAAACCAACAAATATGTATGTACCTAACACTGTTTTTTTTTTCCTTTTTGACTTTTTCTACTTACTTTTGTTGTGAATCGTGTGACTTAAATGTAGATCAGATACCAAATATTAATATTATTGATCTATTGCTTAAGCTGTATAATTAATTATGTTTTTGTTTCAACTAGGCCTACTCCTAGAAGTTTATATAAGGTTAGGTTAGTTTGTATATAATTTAAAAATCAAGAATTGGATAGGGGCTGATTTTTTATAATGATAATGAATGATTTTTTATAGTACATATAAAAGTTATTTTATAATATTCTATGGCTAGTATTTTACAATAACCTTGTAAATGTGTATTGAATGTGTGACATTCTAAATTCTACAAATAGATAACATGCTTGGTAAGCTTGTACTGATTTCACAATTTTAAACACATTCATAAAACATAATTGAATTTGGAATCGGAATCGAGTCCGGAATCGAGATTCAAATCTTAAATTTAAGAATCGGAATCGGAATCGGAATCGAGAAATTTTGGAATCGGCCCATCACTAATATATACATATATAAAAATTTGAACAAATGGTGTTTTTGGCCTCTGGGGACATCAAAATGAAAAAGTAAATCGGTCTCGGGTCTAGGTCTTACCGTGCCACCTACGGTAATAGCTACTTCCCTATAGGGAAATTCGCTAAAACAACCATATTCTTACAGAAAGTCTAAATTTGGCAAAAGCGTGAATTTTTGGAATCGTACAATCTTTGTAGATGCGCCCTGTGATCGCTATCGTAAAAGTTTTGCTCGAGCTCAATTTCCCGACTTGATAGCCTGTAGGCTAGCCTCAGCTTGGCTCAAAAATCGAGCCGCTCCCACATCTCTACTAACTGAAAAAAATCAATCTAAATTCACAAACAAACATGACTTAACTAACAGCAGTATATTATTAGTTTGTAAATTTTATAAGTTAACCATATTTTGTATCACTGGAAGTGTAAGTTTGTTTTATTATTTAAATTTTGTGTATATAAATGACATTTTGATTTGCAGGTGGTCTGGTTTATGGTGTTAACAGGACCAGTCTAGCTACTGTGGAAGACAGTCCTCACGACAACACTAGTGTTGACGCCAACGGTGAGTGCGACTTTACTTCTTCAACTTGGCGTAGTTTCAATTTACTTGAGATCAATTTGTTTCCTAAACACAATGAATGTTTTTTTTTAAATCAGAATGCTGGAATCTTAACCCTTTGGAGATTGGAAAACTGTGGAATGTTTTATTTGTCAGGTTGTTAGACATACTGGATAAAGTCAGCAGCTGGAAAAATATTGTGTCTGTTGTCTTTTCCAGTCAGATATTTTTGTCCCTGGCCCTCAGATGAGCAGTGCTAAGTCTCATTCTACAAGCCCAGCAGCACCAAAAACATTTTGAAAATATTTATTGTTATTATTTTCATGTTTGCTGAGTGGTGATACATATAGAGTAACCTTGAAACTAAAATACTTGCGAGCTGGTGGGAATTAAGTCAATTAGTGTGTAGGCCTAACAGTTATGTTGTGTTGAACAGATGAGGATGATCGCATGTCAGTGTTGGCGGCAGAGTTGGTACAACACTCGGGTGGTCTAGCCACTCCTCCGGGCATCAGTAGGCAACAGCTCATCAATAGGTAGGCATACGTCATAACATACTTATTATCTGAATTCTTGGGTCATGGTCACATTGTGAAATTAGAATATTCTTAACTTGTCCAGTGGATGTCATTAAATTACTACGGTGACTTGATTAACAAATTTTTACAATGGACACACTCACTGTTTACCACTTTTTTTTTTTTTTTTTTTTTTCTAATACTGTCACAGCCTTCTTTACATGTCTATGTCCACATGATTGTCTGTTGTGTCATTGTTGGTGATATAACCTTCTGGATACATAATGAATATTGTTGTCTATTGTAACAAAAACTAAAAAAGAAGATTTGGAAATATGGAAACTTTGCAAAATGGAAGCCGTATCATTCTTGTAGATTTATCAAGCGCTCAATGCCAGCAAATGCAGAGCAAAATAAAGTTCCCTAAACATGACCATTAAAATATTCAATAATCCATAAAGATTTATTTTCTTTTAACAATGACTTGATTATCAATGTTATCCGTACGTTCTGTGACAGCCCGTGTCCCATCTGCGGGGATAAGATCTCTGGATTCCACTACGGGATCTTCTCGTGCGAGAGCTGTAAAGGATTTTTCAAGCGGACGGTGCAGAACCGCAAGAACTATGTGTGTCTGCGGGGCTCCAGCTGTCCTGTCACCATTGCAACGCGCAAGAAATGTCCGGCGTGCCGCTTTGACAAGTGTCTGCACATGGGCATGAAGCTGGAAGCCATCAGAGAGGATAGGACGAGAGGAGGTCGCAGCACCTACCAGTGTTCCTATACACTCCCCGCCAGCCTCATGTCTCCGCCAGGCACACTGGACAGTCCCCGCCTAGACACCCCCGTAAAGCTAGAGGCAGGGGAGTCACCACACACACGACTTGTGCCTCCTCTGCTCCAGGTACATTATGTCTCTGGTCATTTTGCTTCCGTTCATTATACGAACATGTGTGGGTTAGGATTGATACAATGCAAGTTTTGCTATTTGAGATGTGTACTAACTTGTTATTATTAGGTTGAGGTAAAAAAATCGTTAACCAAAATTCATTGACTGGAATAATATAAAGCAAATAAATTATGAGTTAAAGTAGTTTGATTCATCTTAGACCCAGCACGACTGTCAGCAAGTTTGTAGGAAAACTATTACTTTCTGAATTTGGAGAGTTCAATTATCAATAATGTTGAAATTGAATCAACTATTCTTTAATAACACTCACACAATAATAACTTTTATTTACTTATAATCATAACAAAACTAGATAGATAACATATGATTTTATAAAACAGGTAATAAGTAAATTGGATGATGTTGTAACTCCAACACACCCTCTCAACATCATGCCTAGTAAAGTCCTAGGTAAAAGAGTGATCTTTTAAACACTTGCCCTAGAAGTGGCTTTGTTAAAAGGTCCGCTTGATTATTTTCACTTGGACAGTATTCCAGAAATACTTCGTTCTTATTTATCATTTCTCGGACGTAATGTTTTCGAATATCTAAATGTTTTATTCTAGCACTCATCTTTTCATTTTCAATAAACTTGATACAGCTCTGATTGTCTTCAAATATTACTGTAGGATTTTCTTGGGGGAAGCCCATATCTTTCAACAATAGTCTTAACCACACTACTTCTTGAGTGGCTAAGCTTGCGGCCATGAATTCAGCTTCTGTTGAAGAAAGAGTGACATTGGTCTGTTTTTTGCTAATCCAGTTTATAGTGCTGTTTCCTAACTTGTACATCATTCCGCTGATTGATTTTCTATCTGCTAAATCACCCCCCCAATCAGCATCTACATAGCATGACAATTTCAATTCTTTTTCCACCCCTAATTTTAATTTCTTGTCAATGGTACTTTTCAGATATCTTATTATTCGCTTTACAGCATTCCAATCACTTTGGGTGGGTTGTTCAACTCTTCTAGCTAGAATTCCAACAGCTGACAAAATATCCGGTCTTGATGTCACAGCAAGATAAAGAAGTGATCCTATTGCCTTCCTGTACATTTTGTTATCCGGCAGATCTGGTGACATAGCTGTTGAGTTGATAAATCCAACTTCCATTGGTGTTCTTGCTGGTTTACTGTTTTCCAGCCCATGTTCAATTATGACTTTATTTATTTTTCTTCTTTGGTGAATGTAAAAGTCTCCATTCATCTTATCAATTTCAACTCCTAAGTAGTTGTGAACAACTCCTAAGTCTTTCATTTCAAAGCATTGTGTCAGTTTTTGAAATGTTTTCTTGACATTTTCAATTGATCCAACACACAAAATGTCATCAACATGAACCACTACGTATGTATAATTTCCATCAGTATTACTCGTATATAAACAAGGGTCAGAATTGCTTTTTTCAAATCCCATGCTCATCATTGTTGTATTCAGTGTTTCATTCCAGGCCCGAGCTGCTTGTTTTAGCCCATAAATTGATTTCTTTAATTTATAAACTTTATCTTCATTATCAGATTTCACAAAACCTTCGGCCTGTTGCATATATATTTCTTCTTCTAACTTTCCATTTAAAAAGGCTGTTTTTACATCAAAATGATGCACAGTCAGATCTTTTGTCGCTGCTATGGTTAGTAAAAATTCTTACTGTTGTTGAATTAACAACAGGAGCAAATATTTCATCATAGTCTTCTCCATATTTCTGTGAGTAACCTTTGGCTACTAAACGTGCCTTATAGCGCTCAACCATACCGTCATCTCCATACTTTGCTTTAAATATCCATTTACATCCAACTGCTGTTTTCTGTGGAGGTAAATCTACAAGTTCCCATGTATCATTTTTTAATAAGGCTTCCATTTCTTCTTGAGCTGCTACAACCCATTGTTTTTTCTCAGGTTCAGGCAATTTCTCCAATTGTTTCCAAGATTTTGGCTCAATCACATTTCCTTGAGCTATTAATGATAGTCTGTTAGGAGGAACACCTTTTGTTTTTCTTTCAGATTTTCTTACTTTCAAGTTAATATCATTATTCTGATGATCATCTCCATTATTATCCCCATCAATCATATATGGCTCGTCATGTTCAATCTCTTCCATTTCATTTGACATATGTTCTTTAGTTTCATTTGTTAATGTTTGCCTATCATCAAGTACATTTTTCTCATCAGTACCTTTTGGTTGATCAACTTGAACACTTCTTTGATTTTCTTCGACCTTTTCATGTCTTTGGAGTAAACTGTCTACAGGCAATACCCTAAAGCTTGAATTAGTATGATTTGCATCGACATGTGGAAAGGAAGATGTGTCAAAAACTACATCTCGAGTTGTAATGATTTTCCTATCTTCGGGTAACCACATCCTCCAGCCCTTTGATACATCTGAGTAACCAACAAATATCCCTTCTTTTGCTCTTGATTGAAATTTGTCATTTGTCTTGTCTAGGATAAAACCTTTACAACCAAACTTTTTTAGATATGAAACATTTGGAATTTTCCTATACCATCTATGATATGGTAATACACCATCGATTGCATCTGATGGGCATCTATTCCTAACATGAGCTGCTGTTGCAACTGCCTCTGCCCAAAACGTTTGAGGAAGATTTGCTTCAATGAGCAAACATCTTGCCATGTCGTTTAATGTACGATTCATCCGTTCAGCCACTCCGTTTTGTTGAGGCGTTCCGCTACATGTTAATCTTCTCTGAATACCATTACAATTCAAAAATCCATCGAACTCTCTGTTAACATACTCTCCTCCATTGTCTGTTTGAAGATATTTAATTTTTCTTCCTGTAAAATTTTCTACTTTGTTCTTGTACCTTTTGAAAGAATCTAATGCATCACTTTTCTTCTTCAAAAAGTAAACTTCAACCCATCTTGAGCTATCATCAATAAAAGTAATGAAATATTGAGATTTTCCATGTGACTCAGTTTTCATTGGTCCACAGATGTCAGAGTGAATAATGTCCAGCACTTCAGATGTTCTTTCACTTTTAGGAAAAGGTCTTTTTGTAAATTTTCCTTGAATACACACCTCGCATTGTGGAATAAGCTCTTTTGTGTTCACTTTAATACCTTTAACCATATTTAAATTGATTATTCTTTTCAAGTCTCCAAAGTTCAAGTGTCCAAAATGTTGGTGCCAAGACAATAGACTTGATTTTTCACAGCTTATATTCATTTCTTCACTACTCTCTTGTACGTAATAAAGTCCATTTAACCTATTCGCATGGATCTTTGTCTGTCCATTCTGATCTATTATCAAAGCAGCATCTTTTTTAAACAAAACGTGATACCCATGGTCAGTAATTTTAGCTACAGACATCAGATTTGTTTGAAGTTCTGGTACATACAAAGTGTCATACAAATTAACGCTTAGATTTGTACTCCCATTTAAAATGTTCATATTAACTGTTCCAGCCCCTCTTGCATCAGTTGATGAATTGTTGCCAAGAGATATACTTCTTCCATTTACAGGCTTGTACTTGGTAAATTTACTGTTCACATGAGTCATATGTGAAGTGCATCCACTGTCCAAACACCACTGTATATCTTTCATTGACAAGTTTCCAAAATAAGAGTCATCTTGTACTGAAGAATTAAGTCCTACTTCTTCTAGCTTAGCAATCGCTACGTTTTGTTGATCTTTATTTGCTTTGGGACAAAATTTTGCTTTATGCCCGATCGCTTTACATATAAAGCATCGAAACGGAAAATCAACTGATTCCGTTCTATTTCTATAAGAGTCTTTTGAAAATCTTCCTGGTTGAAATCTAACTTTATTCTGAAATTTTCCTAGCAGAGCTTCACTACTCTCTTTCTTACCATGTTCTTTTCTCGCTTCCCACTCTTCTACAATTTTTATTTTCAAAGTTTCAGGAGAAGGCAGTGCATCTCTTGTTTCAATAGCAATTCTAAAGTTTTCAAATTCATCTGACAGGGAATACAAAAGAATAATTGTCAAAAGATCCTCATTAATATCGATGTCCATTCCTTTTAATTTGTCCACTACATCAAAAAACATATTCATGTAATCTCTGACATCATAATCAGGGGTCAGTTTTGCCAAAATTAGCTTCTTTAACAAAAAGGCTTTCCTTGCTGGTCCACTGGAATCATAAATGCCTTTTAATTTTTCCCATATCTCTGCTGAAGTGTTACATCCTTTCACTTGCTTTAATTCGCTTGGGCTGATAGAGAGGATTATATCTGCCTTTGCCTTTGCATCAGTGATTAGCCAAGCAGTCATTCTTTCACCTTCTTCTAGAGGCCTTTTAATGGTTCCTAACACATACCCAAGTAAATCATTTTTAACTAAAACTGCTTCCATCTGCATTTTCCATGTGTCATAATTATTTCTGTTCAAAAGTTCAATGTGATTACTCATATTTCTTTCCATATTCCTCACTTAATTGAGTCTCATAATCTGTTGAAATTGAATCAACTATTCTTTAATAACACTCACACAATAATAACTTTTATTTACTTATAATCATAACAAAACTAGATAGATAACATATGATTTTATAAAACAGGTAATAAGTAAATTGGATGATGTTGTAACTCCAACAAATAACACATAAGACATAACTAAAACACTTTTTTTTATATCTTTACTACAAATTAAAAATCCAGGTAATATAGCCTATAAATAATTCATACACTGCTGTACAGTTCTTAAGAAAGATTTTATATAGTTTTTTTTTTTTTTATTTCTTTAAACTTATTCCTATTTTGCAGGAAATCATGGAAGTGGAGCACTTGTGGCAGTACAATGAGCCAGGAGGTGAAGGTGGTGGGGGAGGTGGAGGTAGAGTGGGGGGAAGTCCTGCGAGTCACAGCGGGGGCAGCGGCGGAGACTTCCTAGCAAACCTCTGCAACATTGCGGACCATCGACTCTACAAGATAGTCAAGTGGTGTAAATCCTTGCCTCTCTTCAAAAATATCACGGTTAGAATGTTTAAACTTGATTTATTATGAAAAATATTTAGCTAACGTTTACCTCAGATGCATGTCAAGAATTTTCAAAATATCAACATCAATTTGACCAAAATATGACTTGTCAATTTTTTGATTGAAGGAACCCTGTACACATTTTTGTCAAACTAATATGATTAGTCTGGTAATTAACTTTATTAGGTTGACCTGGCTAGTGATGCAGTGTATATTGTTCACTTGTGATTGTATAGCTGAGAAATTCATGGTTTTTGTGAGCATAGCATGATTAATCGAATAGGGAAGAGTCTATTCTGAAGGGTTTGCATAAAAAAACTCAACTTTACAGACAAATTTGAATATTTAAAAAAAAAAAAATTATTTTAGGTTGTCCGGCAACTGGGAAAAACTGTAAAAAGCGGGAATTATACGGGAATATTATGATGCCGGGAACTATGCGGGAATTATACGGAAATTCTGTAATCATGGCAGTAATGTACAGGAACTTTTCCTGAATCGATTTTTTATTTTAAATATTCAACAATCGTTGAGAGTCAAACAGAACCTGTGTAAAATCTTCTCCAACCGGAAACATTTATTATCGTGAAAAGCAAAATCAGCATGTTACGAAGAGGACAGGCTATAGACGCCATTTTCTCGAAGCCGTCCAGCCCAGGACCCAGGATTTGGGCTACTATGTATGTTGTTAATATTTCATTTAAACATCAGCATTGATTAAATTAAAGATTCCCGCGTCGTGATCTGTTTTGTGTGTATTGTTAATACAGTTGAACCTCGTTTGTACGAACCTCGATAAAACGAATTCCTCGATAAGAAAAATTTGTTTAATCTCCTTGACACTTTCATATAGGTCAATGCTAAAAACACCTCTATACAACGTAGTAATTAAGTTAAAAACCTCCATAAGACAAATTTGTTTGTGACATGGGCTAGGACTGATTAACCTCTATACAACGAATATTCTTAGCACAAAACCTCTACAAGACGAACGTGACCTCTATAAGACGAATTTATCATAATCTTAACCTCCATAGTACGTAGTTTTCAAAACAAACAGAAGCTTGTCTCAACATGAAACCCCCTCCTATCCCTCCTCCTTCCTCAGTCATTGTTTGGAAAAACCTTTGAGCGAGGAGAAACCTCTATAAGAAGAATAACAGCAGCATTAAACCTCGATAAAACGACCCTCTTTATTAAGAATAATAAGAATACCTCTATAGTACGAATTTTTCCCGTACCCCTTAAAATTTGTCTTATAGAGGTTCAACTGTATAATAAAACCTGGCAAGCCTGGTATGCTCACGGGGTTACCGCTACGCGCTACAGCACTAATAGCCACTATTGCAACTCATAATTTCTCACTCGTGGCCACCTTTCCCCAACGGCCACCCAACCGCTACCTCAGCTAGAGGCCTTACCTCTTCTGCCACAGATGGGCTTTGTTGGTGATGTGCACATGTTTTTAAGTTGTTTTGCGTACTTGCGTGAGTGTGTGCACTCTTTTTATTAGTATTGCATATGAAATGTATTAAATTTGATAAACTTTTGCCAAATTTACCTTTAAAAAATGCCTCTGGAAAAATGGAAGTTACTCAGGAAATATGCGGGGATTCGGCCGAGCCCTTTGCTAGACACCCTGTATTTCTTGTTTGTGCCAGAGTGGACTCTAGTCCATTCAGATAAGCCTGCTACCCCTACACATATCCCCAAAACCCCTCAAGTCCTTGTGCAGTATGTTTACAACTTCAACCTTTGAGTAATGATTGACTTGACTCATAAAGCATATTCTTGTATTCTCAGATTGATGACCAGATCTCTCTGTTGATCAATGCGTGGTGTGAGTTGCTGCTGTTCTCGTGCTGCTTCCGCTCCATGTCGTCGCCGGGGGAGATCCGAGTGTCGCTGGGCAAGTGCATCTCGCTCAGTCAGGCGCGCGAACTCGGCCTCGGCCCTGCCATCGAGCGCATGCTCAACTTCACCGAGCACTTGCGCAGACTGAGGGTCGACCGATACGAGTACGTTGCCATGAAGGTCATCGTACTTCTCACTTCTGGTGAGTTTGTGTAGATTCTAATAAAGGAATGTAGAATTAATGAAGAATGAATAGGTTGATGGACAGTAATTATTTTTGTACATTGCTTAGTGTAGTTTTTGATTTAACATTTTAAATATTTTCTCAATAGAAAAGGCTATTCAGGTGTATTTTAACCCAAATATGAATGGAAGATTAGTGTGGTGTGAGGGAGTAGCATTGTGTAGTTTTGTTACTTCTTAGCTTCTTTATTCAGGAACGTGTATTAAAGGCACATTGATTTTAAAGGCACATTATTCATTTTAACATGTCTCGAGCATATGTTGTGACACATATGGTATGGCCATTGATGTTTAAAAGAATGTATTAGATTTTGAAAGAAAAAAATGTGTGGCTATTGAATTTAAACGCTACAGCTTCCTTCTTGAAAAACCCCATGGTGGGGGGATATACAGGTTAATTGTGTGGTAAACGTTTAGTATGCTATATCCTTAGAACATTGGTCTTACTGTAGGTGGGTCAGTTCTCTCTGTATCCATTTCTTCTTTTCAAATGATCATAAAAAATACTTAACACATTCGCTGCTGACCGCTAGATTCCGGGACGGCGCCAGGAGCTGAACTAACGCTCATAACTAACTAACATTACCGCCGATACACCGAATTACAGTAAAAACAAAAGTAGTAATGTTGTCGCAATGTTCTGCAATAAAACGGGCTTTGGACATAGTACTAAGTGATTCTGATAGATAGCAGCAAAACCCAGGTTGCAGTCGGTAAAGTAGTAACGCTATTTAGTAGGAAAAAGGAGGGACAAAGCCTTGTTCTAAATGACCCTGGTGGTATTTTGGGAAACTATTTTTTATTGTCAGAAAAGTACGTCCCTACAAGCTGCAATGAAATATAGGACGCTCGTGACGAGCTGGCTGATCCATGGCAATGTTAAACAACAATGAACGGTGACATTCCGAAACGTTCCTAGCTCCTGGCGCCGTGGTCCGGCTGACATTCCGGAACGTCCGTAGCAGCAAACGTGTTAAATTTACTCAGTTGTGGTCAAAATTATTGAGGAGAAAGGAAGGATACACAACAAACTCACCTGAATAAAGAAGTCTCAGGAGGTCAATAGAACACAAAAAGTACACATTTCAGGGGCTTCTTCAGAGGTAGAAGGTAGAATGGCAGTTACAGTTCTGGCACGGTTTTAAATGTCTGACAGTCTTGCCAACACTTAACTTGTATAAACTAAAAATTATAAATTCCGGAACCTTATTACTATTAATAACCTTATTACGGAATTAATAACTAAGGTACTTACGTATTATACGGAGACCACTTATTTTACAGCGCGCTGCGGTGGTTAGGTTAGGTTGGTCTATTATAAATATGTTTGTAGGACTTTCCTACTTTCGTTATGAATCGAACCAGACAAGTCATAAAAGCTTCATGATGACCAAACCTAACCGCCGCAGCGCGTTGTATAAGGGTGGCCTCCGTATAATACTTAAGTACCAAAACTAAACTTAGTTATGGTCAATAACGCTAAATGTGATTGAACGTCGTTGTTTGCAGATGCCAGTGATCTGAGGGAGCCAGAGAAAGTGAGAGCATCACAGGAGAAGGCACTGCAAGCTTTACAACATTACACTCTGGCCCACTACCCGGACATACCTTCAAAGTTTGGTGAACTGCTGCTGAGAATACCCGACCTGCAGCGGACCTGTCAGGTAACATTACACATAGCCTGCCCCGACCTTTATAACTCAAAGCATTCTTTAAAATATTTCATGGTGCAACAACTTTGGCCATGTAACAACCACTCAACTCAGATAAATGTTTTAAGGTAGGTGAAGAGCAAGCAGCTCTGTTGAGTGTTGGCAAGTTCTTAATGGATTCAACTAAGGACTGACTAACAAAACTGATAATTTGTAGTTAATCCACCGAACAATTTTATATCCAACTGTGTAATTTCAAAACAATTTTTGAAGGGAGGAGACTAGGGGTTAGGAAGTAGAAAAAAGTTTTTTAGACTTTCAATTTACAAAGTTAGTGCATTGCCTTGTGTTTATTTTTACTTAATATTTTTCAGGTCGGCAAAGAGATGTTGTCGATGAAGAACAAGGAGGGTGAAGGTCCCAGTTTTGACTTACTCCTCGAACTTCTCAGAGGAGATCACTGATATCCACTGCCTCCAGTAAGTGTGAAAACTCCTACAGTTATTCCTTTCCTTAAAGTGAGATTGAGCGTTTGAAAAGTGAGATTAATATTAATAAATAATAAAAAAAATGAAAAATAAAATAATAAATAATAAAAAAAATGAAGAGGCGAAATATTAAGTAAATTATGTGTGTGATTTTATGTGTTCTTTGACTCATCTGCAACCTTTCATCAGGTGAGTTAGCTGTGTCCTCTCCATCCTATATTTATTTATTTAATCCAAGCTAAATGCTTTTTCCTAAAAACATAACCTTAAAGTGACAAATCTTTTCACTCTTTCCTTTACTCCTTTCTTTCCTTAGTGTTACTGTCCAACTATCCTATCCACTATGAACCTATCTTCCTTTTGGCTAAAACAAGCCAAACAACATGCTTTCAAATTATCAAAAATTATATGTCATGTACATTTCCTGAGTTCTTGCCTTACTCTAGGCCTAACTCCAGTGGGCCTAACTGTAAAACCAGCCATCAGTGGCATGCCCCCTAATATGTGGCCTGCTATATTAGCCCTAGCCTACAAACAATCAATAGATTTGACTAAATCTGTCCTACAACTGTACTCTGAACAAATGTATAACCACAGAAAGGCTCTTTCTGACCTCACAAAGCTGATTTTGAATGACAAACCACAACTAGCAGATAATCTCAATTCAATAGCACAGAAAGCCTTAATTAATATGAACAAAGAAGCTGAAAGAAAACTCAGAAAACTCTCTAACCTTTGTATCAAACATATACATCAATATGGATCTATAGGCCTAGTCCAACAAACCCAACCACATCAGGTTCCTCTAATCTCAGATAGGCCTTGTCTGGCCTCCCTCTTAGGACTACCTATACCAGTAGGCCAAAAACCCTTTCTACCTAAACCACCGAAGATTCCTACTTCCCCATTCAAGAGCAATTCTGTCCCAAACAACCCTGAAACCTCTACAAATGAACAACAAGTTTGCAACTTATCCAACCACCAGCTCTCAGAAATAGAAAAAACAGTTTTGACCAAGGGTCTCAGTTTTTGTCCCACACCCCGTTTTGACCATTTTGGCCTAGTTAAAGACATCATGTCGCTAGCTAGGAACCTACGTCTCAAACATTATTTCAACTCACAAGATCAAGACAACTCGAAATCCAACAGTGTGGAGCCCTCCCTAGCGAAGTTTGCTCCACCCTCGGACTTCGATCCCCCTCCGTTACCAGCAGACCATCCGATAGAACAATACATCAACTTCTTGGTACAAAACATCTCAGATCCCACTTTCGAAAACAACGTAACCTCTACAACACTCCATAACCTCACCGAAGCCGAGAAAAAAGCCATTTCAACTTTAAAATCAAATACTGATATCATGATCCTTCCAGCTGACAAAGGCTCGACCACAGTGATAATGAATAAATCTGATTATGTGTCAGAAATCCAACGCCAGCTCAGTGATTCTTCCACCTACCTCCTTCTGAAAGAAGATCCAACTATAAAGTACACCGCTGAACTCAAGGAAATAATTTACAAACACTCCAAATCCAACAATATCTCCCCAGAAACAACAAATCTGTTAATACCAGAAGAACCCATCTGCCCTAAAATCTACATATTACCAAAAATCCACAAAGGCATAACACCACCGCCAGGAAGGCCCATAGTATCAGGCTGCGGTTCTTTAACGGAACGTATCTCTTCATACGTAGACGCCTATCTACAACCGCTAGTACAAAACTTGGCCTCATATATCAAGGACTCCAATGATTTTTTGCAAAAACTTAACAATGTCAGACAACCACTCCCCGCTAACACTCTCATGGCCACTATTGATGTCACCTCACTCTACACAAACATACCTCATGTCCACGGCCTAACAGCAACAGAAAACTACCTTCAAAACAGACCCAAAGGATCCCTACCCACCACTTCGTTTATAACTCAACTGATAAAATTCATTCTGGAAAAGAACTATTTCCAATTTCAGGACAAACACTTCCTACAGATCAAGGGCACTGCCATGGGTACAAGAATGGCCCCATCTTATGCTAATCTCTACATGGGGAATTATGAAGAAAAGTTTTTGTCTAGCCGTGAACACCTCCCCATCTGCTGGTTTAGATACATTGACGATATTTTCATAATTTGGACCCACGGTGAAGAATCACTACGGAAGTTCCTGGAAGACCTCAACAGTTTTGGACCGCTAAATTTCACCTGGGATTTCTCTGAGACTTCCATCAACTTTTTAGACCTTACAATTCATCTAAGGAACAATAGCCTCACCACATCTATCCACATAAAACCGACCAACCACCAACAATACCTCCATTTTTCTAGTTGTCATCCGAATAACACCAAGAGATCACTTCCTTACAGTCTTGCCCTAAGGGGAAATCGCCTAATTTCAGAACCGAAAGACCGTACACAATACCAAACCCAACTTCAAAAAGCCTTCGAAAACCGAGGCTATCCTAGCACTCTCGTAAAATCTCAGATCCAAGCGGCTCAGAACCCACGTCCAACTACAAAGAAAAATACCAACCATCTTCAAGTAAATTTGATAACCACTTACCACCCTGGCCTGCAACAACTAAACAACCTCCTTAAAACAGGTTTCAAAATCCTAGAGTCCTCCAGCCAAACCAAAAACCTCCTTTCAAGAGCCCCTTCCATAATCTATAGGCAACCCCCAAATTTGAGGAATATGCTAGTCCACCCAAAACTCCCAAATCCATCAAAAATACCATCTGAGAAACCAAGACCGGGCTCATACCCATGCAATGAAAACCGATGTAAATCTTGCCAGATACACCATCCTACAGAAACTTTTACCAGCACATACCATAATAAAAATTACAGAATCCAAGGCCATCATACCTGCAGCTCAGAGAACCTTATCTACCAGCTTCAATGTTCACATTGTCCAGCCCAGTACATAGGCCTAACAACCGAGACTCTCCGAAAACGCATGAACGGCCATCGACATGATGTTAAAACTAGCAAAGAAAAACCAGTTGCACAACATGCCTTATCCCACCAACTTCTATTTGATGAATGTTTCACCATAAAAGCTCTAAAATCATTGCCAAAGAACCAATGCAATAGTTCAATGCTCAGAAGATGGGAATTAGCTTACCAGTTTGTGACCAACTCCAGAACCCCACCTAACCTCAACATTAGATAATATCCTCATATCCTCACCCTCACAGCTAACTCTTAAGTATTTATTTTCATGGACAAAACTAATTTGCTTTTCAATGTACATATTATATGTAAATACAATATTGCAATGTGCCTGTATTTAGTGCTTTGTGCAGTGTCAGTTGGACAACCTGTCAGACATTTTGAATTCAAACTGTGTCATCCTATTTAAACTGTTGTTTTGTAACTACCATCTAGGCCTACTTCTGAAGAAGCCTCTGAAAGAGGCGAAATATTAAGTAAATTATGTGTGTGATTTTATGTGTTCTTTGACTCATCTGCAACCTTTCATCAGGTGAGTTAGCTGTGTCCTCTCCATCCTATATTTATTTATTTAAAAAAAATGAAAGGCATTCATAATTGAGAACACTTGCTATTCAATTAATGAGTTTTTAAATAACAAAAATGGCGTTGTTGGTAAGATTTAGGTATATTGTATTATACTTGTAAATAGGCTCATTTTAATTTTTATGTACTTATTTTTATTTCTTAGAAATAAGATCTGACATCTTTCATTGTACATAAATTGTACATATTATGAATAAAAACATATTTGATTTGATTTGATTCTTTCTCAACAAAGTAGTGAAGTAGTAAAGGGACTTAAATACTATACTACTATGGGTGAGGTTTGCTAACTCCAAATTTCATTAATTCCAATGGTAATAATTTAAATAAGTAGAGCGTTTCACCAACTCCAAAGATCAGTCCGGGCCAGAAGGTGCTGCAGGGGTTGCCACGGTCAGATTGCAGGCACATCACGTTCTTGCTTTGTTAGCCACGTGCCACGAAACAACATCGAGGGTCCGTTAATGTATTGTAGAGAATGTAGTAGGCCTACTATTAAAAACTAATCAATGTAGGCTACTGTATGTTTGTAAATTTAAATAAGCAAAGTTTAAAATATTATGCCGCTAGCTGCCATGTGTGTGTTGCTTGTTTACTTGTATTATCATACAACTGGAATAAGAACTGTTTCTGTTGGTTGGGGGAAGAATGAATAGTTATTCATAAATACTTAATTATTATTGTTGAAAATTAATATATAATAATGATAAATTATCAACATGTAAATTCACTATTTTTATTACTGAAATTACCTAAAGAAATGATCAAATAGCTTTAACCTAACCTAACCTAGACCCCTTAGTCAATGCTAGAGCAACATCACAAATATGGTGGATAGTGCCTGCAATCTGACCTGACCCGGACGGTATTTTGGAGTTCATGAAACGCTCCCCATCCTGTAACATGTTAGTTTGGCTTAGACAGGATGGGCCGGATGACCTGATGTTTTACAGGTCAGGAGATTGTCTAGTTTGTCTAGTTGTTTACAACCCTCAGTAAAAGTTTTTTTTTTTTTTGCAGGTGCCTTAACCAGCAGCAGGACCAATGGACGACTCTGGCCTCTCGGACCAGATAGTATTTTTATTTTGTATCAAAAATATTATAAATCTATGAGATTCTGTTTTTTAATAGAATCCATCTTTTGTACATACGTAAGTCATAAGTTGTAGTGAGGTTTATGAAACCCGCTTTAGTATTATTACGTAATGTGAGAATGTACGTTTTTTACAGTTGTTCTTTTGTTACACAAATTTTTGAATAGATTAAATTTTCATATATTTTATGTATATTAAGACCCGTTGTTGCGGCCGAGGCTTTGTTGTCCTTGAGCTTTCGCCGTGTACGAGTGTGGCCGCTTTCAAAAAGCAGCTTTTTATACTTTTTAAATTTTTAGAAAATATAAAATAATATAAATAAATATATCGCTTTATGAGTGTCCACAGTGACAATAAACTTGTATAGTTTTTCTTCAGCAGTATTCTTGTCTATTTATACTCCACTGTTACTCAGGTCAGGTATTGTGTCGCTGATCAACCCTCGTCTTTGTTCAATATATTTCTCTCGTGTTATCCGATTAGTGCAATTAGTTGCAAAGTAATAAGTATTTAAAACTGTTTTGGACTTTAAATATATTTAATTATATTTAGTTGAGGAAATTTTGACAGTTAAGTCGGTCATATGATGAGGGATCTTTACGTTGCATTTTTAGTCCCTCAAGTTTTACTCTCAAAGAAAAGATAAACTTTGTCAGTAAAAAAAGTGTTGTTTCAAAATGTCGCTTTAACATTATATTTGATTAAGATATATATTGTAAAAAAAGTATTTGTAAAAATTCTAAAATGTTATGTATTTAATATTATTGTTGAGACTTTTTTGTTATATAAAATCTTAAATTTTATTTGTAAAATTGTGTATATCGGTGATGGCCATACGTTTACTTATAGTCTCGTGGTTCAGAATCCAAGAGACGATGTGATGTTAATACTTGACTTGCATTTTTCATTTTCTTACAGAGCCTCTAGATTGTCTTGTTATATCCTTCTTGTTTGTGGGAACTGGTTCTTGTATTACATGCTAGTGTTTTCTTGTAGGAAAGGCTGCCAGATAAACAACTAAACACAGTAATATCCTAGTGGTAACAGCAAACGATTCCAGTTTGGTAATAGAACTTCTTCTGATGGGTACAATACTATAAAAAAAGTGTAAGGTTACAATTTTATTGAATTTTGAGTGATTTATAATTTAATTATTAGAAATATTTATGTAACTGCTAAACTTGACCAATCAAATCTGGTTGTCAGGAGGTTTGCAGTTAATTATGTAACTCAAATTAGCAAATTTCAATTTTTTGCCACAAAAGTTCTCAAGTTGTAGTGACTGTGCCCCCTCGCTGTTTCGAGGGACGGCTTCTAGTCTTCTCAGTTCCCATAAACTTGTTTTTTACTCTGTCTTATCTTCAAATGTTGGTACCGAGTGCTGTCTTAATGCCCTCTGTTTTCTTACCACTATTTCAATTAATTCTCGTGGAAATAAAGTCGGATCTTCAGTATTTTTTCTGCGTGTGAACATTTCTTACTCACATTGATGGAGGTCCGATTGTTTTACTACAAATCCCACCGCATGAACATTGAGACAGCACTCTTTACCGTTGACAGAACATATCAAACTTTTGAGTGTTTGTGGTTCCAATTCTCTTTTGTACGAGTGTCGTAGGTACCGGTAGCTTTCTCTATATTACGCAAGATTGTGTCTTGTAATTGTTGGAGTCTTGTCCAGTTTTATGCCATTTATTGTACTTAAATAAAAATCGAAAAAGGTAACAAACAGTAATACAACTTGGGGTCAATGTAATCCGGCTGGCTTCACACTTTCTTTTGTCTAGTTATTAAAGAATTCATTAAATTTATTTTGAACTGTTATCCTTCTTTGTGGGAAAATTTATTTATTAGATTTATATCAGTTAAAAAAGTAAAATTATTGACTCTTATTTGTTAACTCTTATTAGTCATTACCATTGTTTATGCTGGTATTCTTTTCCAAATCAAAGGAAAGGTTTCCGTAAATAACCACCATATTTTGTGTTCGATAAAAAAATCCTTTTGTTTATTTTTTTTACTCATACAAATATTTTGCAACTTACATTTACACTGCAATGTCGCATACATATTTCATTAAATAAACTACAACATTTCACCAGTCAATTATGAGACCAAGGTTTGACGCCAGCCGGAATGTCGCGCGTCTGGTCGGTTGCTCAATGTACTTACCCGACCCGACGCCTGTACTGTACTGTACGTAGTATTACGACTCACTGCCAGTATTATTGTCGGTCAAATCGACCTGCAGTCTTCCACCTTGACAATCCCTTTCCTCAATAAACATTTTATAATTCTTCAGTACACAACGTGTTTTACTCACCCTTGTATGATCTCAGTTGATCCCAACAGTACATATACCGCAGCTTCGTCTAAAGTGAGGCTTCATCTATGTATTTAATTCATACATAGACATATGTTGTCTTCTGTTTTCCAAGTCCAATTTTAGGGTTAAATATTAAAAAACTTACTCCTATGAAGGTTCTTTTATTATTGTTGACACGCAGAAATCCTTCTTTGTGTCAGTTTCAGTTTTTGTGATTATTCTGTGTGCACCTGACATCATGTTGTCAGCCACAAGAGAATGGACAATGGATCTGAGAATGGAGACAACAACAAAAAGTGATTAAGGTAGTGAATATTGGGTTTCAGAAAAAATTAAATCTCTTGGGAATGTGGAATCCCGCCTAAAACTTATTAATTATTTTAAAAACCGCAAAAAGTATGAGGCTGAAGCTGGATTGTTGAAGGATCAATGTAAAAACGCAAAGTTTACAGACATGGACATTCAAAGATTTAAGTTGACAAAATTAAGCAAGTTAAGTAAGTAAAAGTTAAGTAGTAATTTAAGTTCAAAAATGTATTTAATGAAAATGGGACTAGCGTTTACCCTAATCTTTTATTTTTCCTTTTCTTTAAAAAAATACAGTACTGTGTATGTACATTCAAGGTGGATTAAAAACCAAGCTTTTTTTTTATTTTAATAGGCTTAAAGAGTCTCTGAGATGTCGGAAAGGAGAGGTTACCACTTATCTGAGACCTTAATTAAACAGAAGACATAGATCTGAGACTTCAGACAGGAGAGGCTACAAAGGTTATGAGCCCTTCTTGGGCAAGAGAGGTTACTGGAGACCAAGACCTTAGTTTTGGAGAGGTTCATAGGGATCTGAGACCATGGATAGGAGAGGTCCCAAGGAAATAGAGGCCTTGAACCGGAGAGGTTCCTATTGAATGTAAGCCATGGACAGGAGAGGTTTCTAGATATATGAGACCTTGAGCTGGAGAAGTTCCTAGGAATCTGAGACCTTGCAAAGGAGAGGGTACTGGAGATCAGAGTCCTTGGACAGTTGAAGGTCCCAGGGAACTGAGACCCCGGACCTCTCTGGTCCAGGGTGGAGGTTCCTAGGGTGCTGCCACCTTGAAATAGCCTAGGGAATTGAGGTCTTGAATATGAGAGCTAGGGCTTGATCATAGGACTAGGGATCTGAGACCTTGGATAGGAGAGGTTACTGGGGGTATAAGATCTTGAACAGGAGAGTTACCTAGGGATCTGAGACCTCAAATAGGAGAAGTCCCTAGGAATCTGAATCCTTGGAAAGGAGATTTTACTATAAGGATCTGAGATCCCTGAACAAGAGAGGTTACTAGAGATCTGAGACTTTGGACAGTTGATTTTCCCCGGGATCTGAGAACCTGTATAGCCGAGGTTCCTATGGAGCTGAGGGACTGGACAAGAGGAAGAGAGATTCCCATGGAATTCAGACCCTGGACAAGAGAAATCCCCATGGAACTGAGACCCTGGACAAGAGAGGTCCCCATGGAACTGAGACCCTGGACAAGAGAGGTCCCCAAGGAACTGAGACGCTGGACAATAGAGGTCTCCCATGGAACTGAGACCCTGGACAAGAGAGGTCCCCATGGAACTGAGACCCTGGACAAGAGAGGTCCCCATGGAACTGAGACCCTGGACAAGAGAGGTCCCCAAGGAACTGAGACCCTGGACAATAGAGGTCCCCCATGGAACTGAGACCCTGGACAAGAGAGGTCCCCATGGAACTGAGACCCTGGACAATAGAGGTCCCCCATGGAACTGAGACCCTGGACAAGAGAGGTCCCCAAGGAACTGAGACCCTGGAGAAGAGAGGTCCCCATAGAACTGAGACCCTGGACAAGAGAGGTCCCCATGGAACTGAGACCCTGGACAAGAGAGGTCCCCAAGGAACTGAGACCCTGGACAATAGAGGTCCCCCATGGAACTGAGACCCTGGACAAGAGAGGTCCCCAAGGAACTGAGACGCTGGACAATAGAGGTCCCCCATGGAACTGAGACCCTGGACAAGAGAGGTCCCCATGGAACTGAGACGCTGGACAATAGAGGTCCCCCATGGAACTGAGACCCTGGACAAGAGAGGTCCCCAAGGAACTGAGACGCTGGACAATAGAGGTCCCCCATGGAACTGAGACCCTGGACAATAGAGGTCCCCAAGGAACTGAGACGCTGGACAATAGAGGTCCCCCATGGAACTGAGACCCTGGACAAGAGAGATCCCCATGGAACTGAGACCCTGGACAAGAGAGATCCCCATGGAACTGAGACCCTGGACATTAGATGTCCTCATGGAACTGAGACCCTGGAGAAGAGAGGTCCCCATAGAACTGAGACCCTGGAGAAGAGAGGTCCCAATGGAACTGAGACCCTAGACAATAGAGGTCCCCATGGAACTGAGACCCTGGAGAAGAGAGGTCCCCATAGAACTGAGACCCTGGACAATAGAGGTCCCCAAGGAACTGAGACGCTGGACAATAGAGGTCCCCCATGGAACTGAGACCCTGGACAAGAGAGATCCCCATGGAACTGAGACCCTGGACATTAGATGTCCTCATGGAACTGAGACCCTGGAGAAGAGAGGTCCCCATAGAACTGAGACCCTGGAGAAGAGAGGTCCCAATGGAACTGAGACCCTGGACAATAGAGGTCCCCATGGAACAGAGCCTGGACTGTTGATGTTAGAGATACAGTATGTGCAGGTTGAGGTAACCAGAATACACAAAATAGAACAACCTCGATAACAGATGTAAATAAAATTAGATGACCTTGGCTATGCAAAGAGATATAAGTTACACGAAAGTGAGCATTTTTAAATTTTCAAAATAGAAAATATACCGTATAGGTACTAATCTAATACACTAAACAATCGTATCGTATAGAAGTTATTTTAATCCATGTTGTAATCTAATCCTGTTTTGGAAAATGTACTTAAATGAACTGCAATGAAATGAAAATTTGAAAAAGAACAGTTTTAAATTCTTCAAATACAACTGCGAGCTTTGATCAGTCGACTACAAATATATCACCATCACTATTGACTGTAAATAGTCAATGATAGGCCTACAACTTAACTTCGGTCCAGACCCCCTAAATGGTGTCTTGTTGAAAAAGCGAGCTGCTCTTATCTTATCTGTACACATCTCCATCGTGATTGTCGATGACACAATAATTAGTTATCAAGAGTCGGGCGGAAACTTGACACTTTCCATGTTTGCGAACCGTCGTCGTCTGCCGGTTCGTGTTCGTGTGTTAGTCAACAGTTATAGTGTACGAACTTGCCGCGGGAATTGACAGCAGCACTATCACCTGATAACGTGTCTACCTGAGAAATCAGCGAGAAGAATTCTTAAAGTTGCGCTTTTGTAAGTTTGTGTTTTTGTTGATAAAATTGTATTTACATTTACGCCAGTTGCAAACAAAATGTAGGGTTAGTCCATTGACTTGCTTGCATAGTAATCAAAATAGCATAATCATGTGCATGTTAAATCTTTGTTTAATGTTTTTCGCCCTTTGAGGAAAAATTAGCTTATACGAATGAATTAAGTGCCCAATTCTATTCAGAAAGTATACATGTTTTTTGTTTTTCAAACGTAATCTTTAGGCATCTTAAGCTTGCAATATTATTTATCCATCCTTGTTTTCATGTACAATTATAAGACACATTGTTTGTTGCTCAGTTGAAGACGATTTTGAGGTGAATGTTTCTTTCCAGTATGTAAAGGTTATACAATTTATTTCTTAATGAGCCGGTTTTGAAAATAATAAATACGACGTTCTATTTCGTAAACTATGGTTTGTTCTGGTATTACAAACAACTAATATTACTAACTTCTGCGATTATTATTCAAAGAGTACAAATAGTAAATAATTAAAAATTTTGTTGAAATCGACATATTTAAAAACAACCACGTAAAATTTACCTCGTGATCGTGATATATTACAAATTGAACATTTGATATAAAGTCGATGGTTGGGTATTTCAAGCTGAACGTGTAAGATGTCCATGTAGATTGTTGCGTTGCGAGTGCTTTATACTAAACATGTTCATTTTCATCCGACAAAATACAACTAGATCTTTTAATAAACAATCCTCATTTTGGACAGTAGCAAAACAAAACTTCTTCTCCCATTCATTGTCAACTTATCCTACTTTAAACAACACAGCCGTCATGTGCCGGCGTCATAGTTGCACAGTTATAACAGACGACCTTGTATTAATTAATTCTTAGGCGAGAACTACAACCACTTGGCTACACAAATATATTATCTATGTTCTGGTGTTGTTGTCACTCTGTAAATGCTTTCTTCATTTTACTTATCTATTAGTCGCTCAAACTATCACGGTTTAACCTAGTTTTGTGCGAGTCACAACTGTAAAAATTGTGAACATACCAGTATTTTGCAATTAAAATTCATATTTTGTGCAGTAACTATTATGTTATTGCAAACCATGCATGTAAATCTGATTCCTGAATTGGGTACAACTGGTACATAGCCTACATAGGCATATTCTATGTCCTCCTTCTGCTGAGTCCTTAGCTTTTCATCTCTGTGTTTTGTATCAGCTTTTTCGTCATACTGCAGCAAAAACAGCCGGTTTTAATGCATGCGTTGCGGGTCTTAGTAGCATTTTTACTCCCAAGAGAGTACAAGTGCTACTTTAGAACCGCAACGCATGCATTGAAAACGGCTGTTTTTACTCTCTAGGGAGTAAAAATGGTTTTTAGCCCCTAGGGTGTAAAAATAGCTGTCAACTCAGTTAATTGTAAATTTCAATTGTAAACAAAAGCGCGTTCCGAAAGTATGTATCGATTGTAGCTTATTGTTGCCTTATTGTAAATAGTTCGACATATCGATAGTATATTGTACACCAACACAATCGTAATATACGATACGATTGAATCACTTACACTAAACAGCTGATTGTTTCCTTCTACCCGGTCAATTGAAGATGGTGGCTAAACATGCTAATGTTCCTGAACATGCCTCTACGGTATAAGCTCTCAACATTCTAAAACTAATTTTCCTACAGTCACCCGACAAAGTTGGCTTCCTTGTACTGTTTATAGTACAGAAAGCTGCTAATTGCTGCATATTTATACTTTGCCGTACGGTTTATACTTTGCCGTACGGTTTATACTTTGCCGCACATCAGGATTCCAACGAAACAACACAAAACAGCGTGGTTCCATTATGCACGTAATCCATGTACGCTTGGAAATAGGTTGGCAACACTTAAAGATAATTATACTATGAGCAGCTGATTGACTATTATAACTACGATTTAACCTGTCATTTCGTGTTTATAGTTTCGGTATTTCTGAACTTTCTGGACTTTTCTTTTTACGTTTTTAAAACCTTCCTACGATCTTAATAAACAAGAAAATACCTTTTAAGCATTTTTTTAGGCGCGGAAACCACTTCAAATTACAAAAACATACGGAACTATATTCTCAAAACGCGGAGCACATTTCTTGCCGAGGAAAAATAGCGGAGTGATATGGACCGCGGGTACTACTTTCTCTAGGCCACCATTACAGGTGTTGCCAGCTGAACCTAAAAACGTGCTGCATTGTGTTTGAAAGACTAATTATTTATATGCTTTATAGTGACTGTAGGAAAAATATAATGTGTAACACGAGTGAAAAAGGCCTTTGCTGCACTCGAGATCATTCCACACTCGCCTGCGGCTCGTGCGTAAACATTGCTCTCGTGTGCAGCAAAGTGCCACTTTCACCACTATTTACACAAATAACTATTGTTTCTAATGATTGTGTGCTTTTTGTGCTCTTAACATATCAAAGCTTGCAGTGGATGGAGCAAGAATAAATGTTAGCTATTATTTAGAAGTTAAAATCGCATGTAAATAGACTAATTTACGGATTTTTAAAATAATTTTGTAAATACTTAAAGAAACAATTACGAAGTTTCAGTTCAGCCAATGCATAGTTTGAATCATTGTGAATATTTTACAGTTAATTTCAACTCGATAAACACTTAAATAATGCCAGGAGGTTCTTGTTTGTAAAACCATATTTACGTGGTAAACAGCTGGCGGGTAGAACCCTCTTAAATTTGAAAACAAGTTGTTAGTTTTGAGAGGTTATCTTTAAATTAAAACTATTTTAGTTTTGTTACATAGTTCGTTCAAATAATGGTGCAATATGACGAAAAAAATAGTACATCACACGGGCAAAAGTGTCTTTTCAACCCTCGCTCGTTTTCCGACCTCGGCTTCGCCTCGATTGTAAAACTTGTGCTCGGGTCGAAAAGAGTCACTTTAGGCCCCAGTGATAAAATATACTTAGTTCATACCCTTTATCACGCCAAGATATTTGCTCTTCTTGCTGCTTCAGCTGTTGTTTCTTGAATCAATTTCTTTACCAAAGTCCAACACGTCATGAACATTTAAAGTAAAAATCTATTATCTATTCCCCCACATAGTAGTGAGTTAATTTATGAATTATAATTGACTAGCTAATACTGAAGCTTGATTAAGCTTTAACAATACATACAGTATTTTGAAACTCCTTTAATGTAAATGCTTTAACTCTCTGGCGGGGTCGTCTGCTAGCCGGCGACGTGCGAGATGGCAGAAGTACAGTATTGGTCAACTTCTGTAGTGGCCTCATAAAACTAAAACTGCCAATACTTTTATGAATGAAACATGCATAAATGCATATATATTCTGAATCAGCATCAAACAGGGAACATTTTATACATAACTATGCATTTTTACAAGTATATGTTACAATAATTGACTTGACAACATTAGAACCTACCGCCTAGCTACAACCAAAGTGCGACATTTTACCCTGAAATATTACAATAAATTATTGAGCGGAGCAAAACGAAACTCTTTGGGATCGACTTCAATGCAAACTTTCTAACACTATTACCTACTTAATAACGGCTAAACATATTTTAGCCAAACTTACCAAGGTTGTTTCGACAAATGTGTGGTTTCAATTTTGATAATGCCTAATTTAAAAGTAACTAAAAGTTGTAAAATTTTAACTTTGGCCTAATGGGTTGCCAATAATAACCTTTAACAAATGACGTAAACATAAAAAAAACAAAGAATCTTAGCAGATAGAATAAAATGTTTAAAATCAAGCCAATAAACGACCTAAACACATATAAGGGATAAACATTCGGATTATGAAGACCACTGATCAAATAATACTGATAAAGTATTACATGCCATTTTAGCGAATTTCCATGTAGTAGCTATTACCGCAGGTGGAACGGTACGACCTAAAATTTACTTTTTAATTTTGATGTCTCCAGAGGCCAAAAACACAATTCGTTCAAATTTATATATATTTTATACAAATTTTTGCCCCATAAAACCCCCTGTAAAACCCCGTCCTTAGGTCTGATCATGCTGGTTCGCGAGCTCATTCAAGTTTATCCTGCCTTACACCTTCAAACCAAATTTCATCAAAATCGGACAAAAATTACTCAAGTTATCGCTTTCTCGGACACATATATAACTTGAGCGACAACAACAAAATATAAACAGAAAATCAAAACAAATTAAAGAAATCCGTGTGACAACGTAAACTTGGCTCAAAAAGCCACGTGACAGATGATGAGAAACGTATTCCAAACTCTATCGGAAAAAAAGTTATCATTACTTGTGTTACAGATATAAAATTTAAAAAAAATATGAATGGATTATACCACAGTTCAGTTTAGAAACAATTCCGATCTGACACCCAGTTAGCCTACCTATTTAATTATTTTTATTTATATACGAACAAACACCATTTTACATTGTACATTGCAATTTTTTACAGATGGCCAAAAAAAGATGACGTAATAATACATGCGTGTGACCATTACAGCTATCTACTACCTACACTTATAATTACGAAACAAAGTTTAGAAAATAAATATATAATAAATATCACAGCAAGTGGCAATAAAGACTAGTTAACATGCAGGAACAATAATAACAATAAATATTAACGAAGTTACATAGTTTTATAGGGTAACTTATAGCACTAGTGTTATATAGTCAATGCTTATAGTACAATCCTAGTGCTATACAAATAGGTAAACAACTAGCTGTGTGCCCGTTCTACGCACGGGGATCTTATTGTAGTCAGTTATTATTGAAAATTTTTTATTAAGAACAGAATTTGGTTTCCATATTTTCAGATATGCTGGCAAAACTATTATATATAAACCTTCGCAAATACAGTATCTGACTGTTTCAAGCCAAAACAAATGCTTCGAAATTAAATGTAACCTGGGTCGTGTTGGTCCATATGTTAAATCCAATGATTAAACTAAAAAATGCTTTATAGATCTATGAGGCATAGCCCTAATGTAGGCATATAATTGAAAGTTACATTCCACAATGGTTAAAGTATTTAAGGTACTACCTCAACCTCCCAATTTAACACTTTATTCGTGTTGACATTTTCATTATAAAGGTACTTTTGTCCTTTCCGTGAAACACTGAGAAATAAGGACATATTTGCTTTACTAACAGACATACACACAAAAATACAGAACTTAATTAGAGGATTTGCTACGGTTTAAGCATAACAAAGTACTTGTAAAATTAGTATCTGAAATATTATGTCATCAAATTTCATCATAACAATGTATATTTGCTTGGACCGATGATGACCCGAAATGACGGCTTACTATATGAAATGAAGTACTATAGACGATTGGCAATTTATAGTAAATATTACCAAAATAGGCCACGAACTATTGATACATAAACAACGTAAAGCGTTTAAACAATTCATTATGGTTTTCTGAATAAATGTTTTACTAAAATGCGTTATCGTTTTCTTAGCATAAACTAACATTTTGGAATCAAGAAAGAAAAAGCCAAAATTGTACAGTTAAGACATCAATCAAATTGAATACGCCTGTAATAATAAATAAGGTGCAACACCAACGATAACTAATTTTTAAAGTACAGTGATGTGTTTTTGGTACTTAAAAATGATTCTTACTACTACCAACAGTACCAACGGTTCTAAGGAATAGAACCGGTACCAAAAACCAACGTTCACAGTTGATACAGTAACTATAGTACAGCCGACCAATTATATGAGTTAATCAAGTCCCGAGGTTATTGATCTCTTGGTTTTGGATTTTCTCGTAAAACGTTTTAAAACGGCAATCAAAGTTATTTCCCATTAATTGCTTTATTTGTAAACAACTTTTAATGTAAACTTATCGGTGTCAGTTTGAAAAAAAAACAACCTCATACAAACAACTTTTTGTTATTTAATAGATAACGTACCTATTCTCTAAACAATGATTGGTAAAGGCTATCTAATAACATTAGAAGGAAATGTGACAAATATCACACAACGTTGGGTTTTTGGACGTTTGTAATTTTATTTCTTAAGTAGGTAGGCCGTGTATTCTAGGGAAAAGTACCGGTATCAAGGATCGCCGTCGAACAGTTTGTTATGAATAATTGGGTAGGCGTACGTACCCAAGAGATGGGCTATGGGCCTACTGGCTGTATGGTCCAGCGATTGCATCACACGGTGAGTAGGTACTATTGACTATATATATAGTCAATGGTAGGAACAGAAAATAACACATATTAGAAAAGCGAGTTTAGCATCATCCGTAAACCTCTGTTACAATCACCCACTGCAGTTGTGATTTTTTACTTTACACTTTACACAACCGCCATTGAAGCGCCGAATCAATGAGTGGAAACCATATTTCTAAGCCATTTGGCGACGATCATTATTAAATTTAAAGTTTCCCAGCCGTATACAACACTGATTCAAGGTCTTCTTTCTGGTTATCAAAACTCAAGAACAATTTATACACAAAGAATCTCTGGTTCCTGAACTGGATGATGCCTAGTTATTTAATTTCATTTACACGGTTACACTATTACACTATATTATTGCACTTTCGATTAATTAAATCGGTTATGTAAGAAAAACGTTTTTAATCACTTGGGATTTACATTCAAAACGTGATTGAAAAAGGTTGCGGTATTTGTAAACAACATTTGTAAACATATCAGTGACAGCTAGGAAAAATAATCTTGATCCGAACAGCTGTTCGTTATTTCATAGATGATTATGCAATAAAAATTGGACGAAAACTTGACATAAATCGCACAAAACTACATTTTTGAACGTTCGTAATATTATTTACAAAGTAGTGAGGCCATATTTTAATGGCTTAAGACAATCTCGCCAATCCAGTGAATACATTAAAATGACTTGGATCTTGTTAGGTACTCTCGTTTTCCAGGAGAAGATAGCGTAAAATGCCATCTTGAGTGTTACAGACAAAGGGACGGACAGACAGACAGACAGACAGAAATTGAGATAAGACTCGTTTCTGCTTATTTAATGTATAAGACGTAAAAATAACCTAAAAATATATAATTCTGAGCAATGTACAGACAAAACTCTAATTTTATTTATATAGATAAAAAAAATATTTGCCCACTTCTATGGTTTACTATGTTTTGGAAACCTAATTTTTGTTTAATCTTACGAAAGTTGGAATTTTACATCTAGACTCGTTCCTTGTGACTAGCGTACGGTATTCAGTGTAATCCATTTCAGATGACTGGTGTGGTGTGGTTGGCCAAAAAACGATCGCTATTATATCATATTTTTATGTATCTAACTACAACTATCTAACTATATTTTTATGTCTCTTCTATTTACAGTATAATTAATTGTGAATATCATCGACTATTTGGAAGACTATTTAAACATGCCTTCAATGAATGTGACACCTACACGTGAAATGATAATCAAGACGTTGACAAATATCATTACATGAATTTCCAATGATTTCATATACTAATAAAACAAAATCCACAGTAATGACTTCTTCTAAATGTTAATTTGTCAATCGACATTTTATAACAACTCTATTTTAACCTTAGCATTAAATTAATTGAGGGTGCCACCAACTGTTTGTTTAGATGATGTTTTGTACATCTGTTACTTAATGAAGCCAGCCGAGCGATTTGCTAGTTCAGTAAGTGATCTGGCATTCGGTCTTGCAGAATATAGTTTAAAATATTAAAAATATTTGCAAAGCCTTATTTCGTAAGTATTATTTGGCTGTCTAAATTCTGTACATTTAATAAACCATAAAAACACCTTCTTTAGATACTTTGCCCAAGTATAAAAGTCACAAGAATTGCCATTAGGCATTTTAAAGGCACAATATTACGTATGTATTAATTTACCAGTGCAGGTTCTGCAATAGAGTAAAAGGTTCTACTTTTTAAGTTGAAAATACATGAATCTTCCATTCCAAGATGGACTGTTGTACTTGTGGGGAACTTACAAATTTATTTTTGAGGAAAACGCCACGGTTTGTACTAGCCGGGGTTTATCCATTACATTTTAAATGAAAGTTTTATAAAAAATAAACCAATATGAACATGTTCCATTATTAACCATTATGGACGGCTTAGTTCTGAAGCCTCTTTTATATTGTCTATGCTCATGAATATAAATTAAGCTATAATTCTAAAATTAGATGGGCTAAAGTGCCAACAGAGCAGAGGGCACAACCATGAACATATCTCGCAGTCTCGGCAACACCTTGATCTTCTCTCGCGATCGCCACAACACCCGTTAACATCTCCTACAGTTTCGGCGACACCTTGTTGATTATCTCCTGCAATTGCCGCAACACTCGTGAAGATCTCTCGCAGTCTTGGTGATATCATCTTAATGTCTACTCCTCTTTCTTGATCTTGGCCATGACGCGGTGGCTGCAACTGACTGTGGCCATAGCGGCAGTCAGAGGGTTGTCACTGTGTCTGGAAACTGTTTTGAGAGGGAGGTGGAGCAATGCCAGAGGACTTACACTCTTTAAACCCCGAGGCACTTCAACAGACGTGGCGCTAGTCGCCACAGTCATATAGATTTGGACTTGGGTTCACTGAAATGTGTGAACTTGTGTGTAACTCAAATGTTGACATTTTTGGTTTGACGTAGACGGTTCACTCTGATAACTACCTCAGAGAACTACAACATACAGGACCTGGATACAGTTTGTTGCGCTTTGATCGCCACCACATTTCTGGCTTATTTTAGGAGGAGGTAGCCATGGGAGTATTGATTTATACATCAAGGAAGGAATTATGTATAATCAACATAATTTTCCAATCACATCTCCAGCGCAGCTGACAGCAACACTGTACACCCTTGACGACACAAGAATGTACAAGATCGCCCGTTATAGCAATTTTCTTACTATACACAGCAAACGGCACACAGTTATTGGATGCTCAGCCATATTCCATTACCCACCATTTAAAACTTTCCGGTCTCATTTATTGCATGTTTGTATAGTTTATTTCAATGATCTTTGAGAATAATGTGTCCCTAGACTGGACATGGAGCGGAGAGTGGTGTTGTTATTGGCCGTCTACACACTAGGAGTGAACGGAGGCGTAGACCACGCAGAGCTGAGGGGAGAACATCCCAAACAGGAACATATTGGTAAATATACAACAGTTCATGGAGTCATGACGATTCAGAGTAGATGCTCACAATTTTTGTCCACACCATTACCTAAATCATATTTTAAAACATTTAACCTAAAAAGCTACTCTGCAGTGTTGTTTTTTTTCCTCCAAAGTGTTGTTGACCATATGAAACAACTTTAGGATGTGTTATCAAATTTTTTTTTTAACATGCCTTAAAGTGAAACAATTTAGAAGAGCTTTCTTGTTATCTTTGTAAATAAGGTATGCATTTGAGGTTGGTCCAGTCGTTAGAGCTTATAAATTATGTCTTGGGTTCAAATCCGATCCACTTTTAATGGCTTTTTCTTTTAGCTATGATAACTCTATAACTCGTGGCCCTCAGCTGTAGGTCCACCTCTATACAAAAAGAAAGAAGGTCATCGAACCAACCAACTTTCTCTGTATTAAAGTCCTGCTTGCTCTAAAAAGCCAAAAGATGTTTAAAACTTACTTTTGAAATGTTTAGCGCAGATCACATTTTGCTAAACCTAAAAGGTGTGAAACAGTGGTTTGTTGCTGCAGTGCAGAATTTCTCTGGTGACAGTAGATATTTGTTACAGACAATGGGCAGTGCACCCCAGTCCCCTGTGACTTTGGAGTACCGCCCCCAGAATGTAAAAAGTTGTGTGACTCGCACAGCTACCAGACAATATGTCAGAAACCAGCAGACTTCTGTCTGTGTCGTCACATGGTGAATGGAAAGTGGAGACTGGTCAGTCCTGATGAGCTTGACGAAGAAGTTTTATCTGAGGAGATCATGAGACCTTCAGAAAAAGATAAAGTTGTGGATCAACCTCCAGAAAAGGTGGAATCCATCGATTATCCTTCAGAAAAGGTGGAATCCATCGATCATCCTTCAGAAAAGGCTGAATCCATCGATCATCCTTCAGAAAAGGCTGAATCCATCGATCATCCTTCAGAAGAGGCTAAAGTTCTTTATGAACCTCTACAACCCTCAGAAACTGAAGAACAGCCCTCAACTAAACCCGACGACGGAGTTGTGTCATTCCAAATATTTGCTGTGTTTCTTCCCATTAAACAGATGTTTTACGATTCATACAACGAAGCGGATTCCACTCCTGAGCCTGGAGATTTCCATGCTCTCGGATACGAACCTGTCAACGTCCACGAGGGAAGACTGTTCTGGGACTTCCGCTACATCCTGACAGGACTGATGCTCCTGATGATAAGTTTGGTGGTGTACGAGCTATTTATGTGTGCTAAGCAGGTTTACGGTCCTCGCCCTGATCTTGGACAATATGAAGAACCTGAGGTGAAAGTAAAGATTCCAATAACTGAAAAGGAAAAAATTCTGAATGTTTAATTCGTTTTATTGCTGGTGATTTTGAAACAGAACTTCTTTTGTGTACCATAAACCAAGAAAGATGTTACAATTTCAGTTTTAAAATAAAATGTATTTCACTCTGCTGGCATCATGATTTTAAAATATTTATCTTACATTCACTTAGGTTTAAGTCCCATATAGGGAATATTATCGAATTTCCCATATAGGGAATAAGCTATTACCGTAGGTCTAATGGTAAGACCTGGACCTGGGACCGATTTAGTTTTTCCTTTTGAGGTCCCTAGAGGCCAAAAACACCATCTTTTCAAATTCATATATATATGTGTGTGTGTGTCCGTTAGCATGATAACTAGAACAAAAATGATCCGATTTTGATGAAATTTGGTATAAACGTGTAAACCTACATTTATTCAAACGAGTTTGCGAACCAGCATGATCGGACCATATGGGAACGGGGTTTTATGGGGTAAAAATGTGGTTTTCCCATTGTTGACCCTAAAAACATAAAACTTTCCCAACCAATTTGTAGAGCTTAAAAAAGAAATAATTTAGTGTATTGAAGCATTGTTGTATGCCTAATGGTTACGGAGAAAATTCAAAAAAGTACAAATTTAAAATTCCCATGTTACAGTATTCTTATGGAGAAAATGAAAACTGTTGTAATTTACTTGTTTATGGATATATGTTGATAAAACTTGGCAAATTTATTTTTTTCATACTAAACTATTGACGTATGGTCAAAAAACACTTTTTACCTTCCTCGTAGCAGCAAACCTAAGCACTCGTTAAATCTAATGCTATTTAAGTTGGGAATAAATATGTCTTATTTATGGAAATATTTTAGTAAAAATGTAATCAGACAAGTGGAAATTCGCTTAGTCTGCAGGTTTGCTGCGGCGGGGGTATTTTGTCTCTAGTTCATGTACGTCGACACCGATCGCTGGTGTTAACAAAATTTTGTTTCTATTATTTTATGGTTCTTTTCATGATTTGTGCTGAACTGTTTGGTTATATAACTCTGAGACCAGTTATTGTTTATGATTAGATAGTTTTATTATTTGGTTAAACAAGCTTTTAAATGACTGAAACAACTAGAAACAAATTAATAGTTAATAAAACACAACCTCTACAGTGCAACGTACAGAACTAACAATAAAATTGGCTTCAGCTGTTCCATTAGGATGACAAATCTACTAAGGGAATGTGTTATATCAAACACACATACTTTCACCCATTAGCTTGTGAACAACTTTTATCATGGGTGGTGAGTAACAACTATCATATTTAATAGGGGAAATCACACAAGTTGCAACAACTTATGAACCACCATTTTTACAGAAATGGGGGTTGTACCGTACTTATATCAACTACTAGCAGAGTACCCATCCTTCGTACGGGATTGGCATATAAGTATAAAATGCTTATTGCAGTTATACTCAAGCTTTGGGTTTGCAATGGGGGAGGACACGATTTGATAAAATTTTCTTCTTTCAATTTACGGTATACCATAGTATTGTACACATCTACCATAGCCATAATGTTCTATCACTTTACCTAAACAATAGAGAAAAATAAATTATTAAAGATTCGTAAAATATCAAAAATCATTCATGAAATTAAAAACATATAGTAACTGTAAACAATCCTACTGTGACAGTTCTCATTGCATATTAGCGAATTTCCCATATAGGGAATAAGCTATTACCGTAGTACTCATGGTAAGACCTGGACGCGGGACCGATTTTTTTTTTCGTTTTGAGGTCCCTAGAGGCCAAAAACACCATCCGTTCAAATTCATATTGCGAGTCCCATGCCTCACTTTAAGATTTAGGTTTCCTAAATGTTACACTCGCTTAGCTTAGTGAAGAGGTGTTAGGTTAATGAGACATAAGACTGCTTAAGGGTGTTACTCAACGTGTAATGAACAAGAATTTAAATTTAGAAAAAACAACTAAAGTAACTAAGTGTTACAACAGCAAAAGAAAACTTAGAAAAGGCAAAAATCAACAATAATAAGATAAATAAATTTACAACGTTAAATTTACAAGAAAAGAAAATCAATTGAAAATATAAAAGAATTAGTTACTGACAAATTATATGACTTTTATGTTTGACAAAGTTTTAGTTAGATATTTTATTCTTTCTACATACTGTCTATTGTCCCAGAAGCACACACACCGATACACGCACTCCCAAACTCCCGATCTTCTTTCTCCGGTGGCCCGTGGTGATCTCCTCGATGTTTTCCTTCAGATCCTCCAGCTCCAAGAGTCTTGACCCCTCCATCTTCATCATTAGCCCTTCTCATTGGCTGATTACCGATAGGGTGTGTGGCTAATAGGTTAACGGTGTTTCTTGGAAGTCAGCCCTACCGGTCATCGCCTAGCTCACATCAGCTGGGAAAGGAATTTGTAAATCGATGCTCATGCTACTGTTCAACTCTGTTCACACCAACTGGTCGACTAAGTGTAATGTGAACAGAGTGTCTGCATAGATGAGCACCGTGGGTACGGGGTTAATCCCCTTTCTTACACCCCCCTGGTTAAAACGTCAACCTACCACCGGTTGACAATAAAAAAGAAAAAAAAAACAACTTAAGGAGATACGCGGAAACATCAATCGCGAAGGTGGGAATCGAACGGATATCTTGATGTGCGTTCCGACTCTTCTTCCCCCCTTCCTGCGACGCGACGCGATCTTGAGGATCGGCGCATTTTCTTGTTTCGCGACCCTTCCAGCGACGCGGTAGAATGAGCTGGTGGTGTATAGCTCATAGTCGCTCACGTCTTCTTTCGCCCCATCGAGTCTCCTTAAGTTAATTGATTGTTTCATTAATTTTGAACTATTTAAATTTTAGCTGTTTGTTAAGATGTTTTTATTTTTTTTATTTATTATTATAAATTATTTTTTTGATGTTGAGATTATTAATGGTTTATTCTGGTTAACACTTTGTTACATTAATAGTCTTTTTGAGGGGTTTGAGGTTTTGTGATTAGATTCATTTTAATATTGAGTATGTGGATGAAATATGCTGAAATAATGAGTAAGATTGTTAATATTACTATCCAGACTAATAAAATGTTTGATGAGATTTAGGGATCGATTGGGTTATTTTAGTGGCGCGACAGAATGATATGGAGTTACGATTTATGAGATTTCATTAAATTATTCCGGTCACGATATGCGTTGGAATTTCCGCGCCAGCTGATAAGAGTAGGTTGCCATATGAGAAGGATAGCGGCGAGCACAGCTGGGACGGCGACATGGGCAGCATCACGGCGTCGGGGTTGAATGGACTGCGAGTGCTGACTATGCGATGGCGATGAAGTCATGTCGTGTTGCGGTGACCTTGTACTTGCTGTTGGCTTCAGGGACTCTTTAACTGCTGAAACTTACTTAACAGTGGAATTATTACATGTTGTAATAGTTTTATTCACAAATGTTGGTAATTGGTAACATACAATTTTAATCGATTCATATGCTTTCCCTACTAAGACTATCTATCTACTTATTGTAATGAATATTTAGTTTGTTTGAAATGTATGTTACATGGAACTTAAAATATGACACTTGAATGATACTTGATGTTGTTAGACACATAAATACTATGTTCAAAATGGTATTTGGTTCACAATTACTTTATGACGACACTTTGTTATAAGAGTTTTGAACATAAATGTTTTATTTTAATTATTTATGAATTCTTGCGTGAAAGTCCTATCTTTCCTTAATAATCTAGAGAGTTGTAAAGACAATTTTTGTGTGAATAATTAAGGGTGATCAATCCTTAATTACTTCTCGTTGAGTGGAGTTTGTCCTTGTGCTGTAGACCAAACCAACTTGTATGTCACTGAATGTCACTAATTATCATTCATCCTACGCGCACTAGTAAAATCACTAAGTGTCCAACGTGTAAGTAAGTTGCTCGTTACAAGAACTAAAAATACAGTTACAATGGTAAACTTGATTACGAATGTCTGTGAGTGTCTGCGTGGCCACGCGATATTTTTGTATTAAAAGTCGACTTAACACTTGAGTTTTGTGTAGCTACACATTATTTACATAATATTTACACGAGTTTGCGGAAGTGCGTGTGCTTCGGGAATAGACGTACTAATTGTTTCTTAGAATACACATTGCTTACGTATGACTAACTAAACCTAAGTGAATACTAGCTAAGGTCAAAGCATATGAATCATATATGTATTGTGGTTATTTATTTTGTGTAGCAATAAATCAAAATCAGTTAAATAGCTAACTTGTGAAATATATTTATGAATTATTGTATGTTACCAAATTTATCTTATAAAATAAACATAGTATCTATTGACCTAACGTAACTAAATATTTTTATTTTACAAGTCTTGTTTGAAAAACTTTCATTCGGGAGACATGAATTACTTCTTTGACAAGTTTTCCATTTTTTAAGATTTCCACTAGATATGAGACTGGTGTAACTTGTTTTAATACAGTATATGGACCTTTGTAGCGGTAAGAAAATTTGGTTTGATTTTCCCTTAAATTTTTAGGGTACCATATGAGAACTTGGTCTCCTGGGTGTAAGATTAAGTCTCTCCTATTCCTATCGTAATACATTTTTTGTTTCTTTTGTTCACTAGCTATGATAGAAGGTATTGTGTCCCTGATTTCATTTACAATTCTTAAGTTTTCTAACAGATCTTTTTCTACATTTGGATTTACAAACAAAGTATCACTTGGAAAGCTTGGCTCAAAGCCTAAAAATAAGTACGAAGGTTTGTACTTGGTTGTCTGGTGTTTACTATTATTGTAAGCAAAAAGTACATAGTCAATGTATTGTGACCATGCGTTTGGTTTTTCAGCTACATAATGAGAAATCATATTTATCAACGTGTTGTTAAAGTTTTCTACTTGACCATTTACTTGTGGTGTGAAAGCACTACTTAGAATTTGGCATGTACCTATTGCTGTGGTTAAGTCACGAATCAAATTGTTGTTAAATTCAGTACCTCTATCTGATTGTATAATAGAAGGTGTTCCATAAGTACAAATTAGTTTTAAGAGACATTTTACAATTGATTTACCATCTGCAACTACAAGTGGGAAAGCAAATGCAAATCGACTACAGGCATCAGTTACTGTTAAAAT